GTCAGCTGCATGGGGAACTCGGACACCACCACTGATATTGTTGCCGTCGTAATAAGCCATCATCGTCAAGCTGCCATTTGGGTGGGCTATCTTAACAAACCACCAGTTGTCTATGTCGAATTGGCTCTCGTATATGTTCACGTTGATCTTGGGTGGGGGCAGCCAATCTTTCGGATCTTCATCCACCAAAGAGAGGCTATCTGCTAGCCCGAACGGCCAGATGTTGTTGCTTGGCCCATAACGGAAACTGCCCCATTGGCTTTTGAGGGACAGACTCCAAGTATCCCGTGGCACCGGCCGTCTTCTGATTTTTATTTGGTCACTCTCTATATATTGGCGAAGGGGCATTAACTTAGTTGTAGCTGTGAGTAACCATGATTGATTACGACGTTGCTCCAGCTCCTCAGGAAGCTGTGACAGTTGGTCCCTTAGCTTTTTCGTTTCGGCTGCATTCTCTTTCGTCATTTCCTCCTTCTCGCCCTTCAGCTTCTCCACCTCCTCCCTCAGCTTCTCCAACTCTTCGTCCTTCTTTCCGATCGCCTTTTTCATCTCCTCGTACATCTCCTTGCTTACACCTCCAGAGGCCGCAGGCCGCTTCTCCCTTTTTGGTACGGTGTACTCCAACACCAGGCGTCGCCATGTGGCGACGCTCGGCGTTTTGATACCATGATAGGACCAGTTGAAGAGATCGTTCAGTCGGAGATAGTGAAGTCCAAAAGCTTTGTGTTCCCCCAACGTGGTAACATCCTGGAAACAGAACCCTTGAGGGCTCACCCTCAGTTGCATCCGGGTGAGGTGTTGGGCTAGCCTGGTCAACGCCTCCCGTCCCTCGATCTTCCCGTGACCATCGAAGAACATCAACCCCTCATAAGCTTCATCGTCATCGTCGCCTTCATCTTCTTCGTCGTCGCTTTGATCGCGATCACATGCAGTGATGGTGGCGACTTCCTCCCAATGAGTATTCCTGATGGAGGAAGGATTAACATCAAGGTTGATCCACTCGTAGACTTGGAGAGTGGTCTTGTCCGAGGAAGCAACGAAGTGCTTGTCGGACTTAAAATCAAAGAGAACCATAGTTATATGCTATTGGTTTTCTGGTGGAAATGATTGTTGGAGAGATTGGGATGGGATTGCAGAGTTTGTATGGTGGCCACCATCTTATATATAGTAATAATAATGGCTCAAGATACCCAGCTTCTTCATTCACAATTTAAAAATTTATCATTTGACCTCACTAAAGAAAAAAGAATGACTTTGCCGAATAAATAAACAATACAATATTATCTATTATTTATTGTTATTATTGTCTCTTGGTAGACTTGGCTGAGTATATAATACCTTGCATTTTACAATTTTTCTAAATTTGAAATAGTAAGTGCTTGCAATAGCGTGCCATGTTCGTAGGAACATGTAAAAGTTGTTAGTGTTCTACAATAATCTACAACTATATAATAGCAGAGTGAAGAGCAGTTCTTTAGTATTTCAAATTTAGAGTGAAAGTAAAAAAAGTAAATTTGTTTTCATAATTATTTATTCCTTATTCGTAAAAGAAACAGATACATCAATCCGGAGATTTAAATCATAATTTCTTTAAACAAGACATAAAGCATTACCAATTACACTAAAAGAAAACCAATGAACGAGAAAAATATATGTTTTTTCCCCATAAAACCTAAACTAGAACACGTATGCACAATTTAAATAAGCCTTATATATAAGATAATGTATTCTTTTTTTCTTTCCTTCTTTCTCAAAGACTTCGCCAAATAAATAACACGTGGACATTTTTAAACAATTTATATTTGAAACTTAATAAGCTCACGACACAAGAAAAAAAGGAACACAACAAAACAAATTAGATTGCCAAATAGTCGCTTTTTTCCCCTTCCTTTCTTAGGTAGACTTGGCATTATGTAGTCTTTTTTAAACAATTCATGACTAATTACTTGCCCCTTCATAAATAAGCTGACGAGCTAAGAACACAACAAAACAGTTTAGAAGTCAATTTACTTGTAGTTGGTGAGGGAATATAATGCTTTTAATTCGATTATATGACTTATTATTAGTAAGCAATGACGTACGTTCATAGGAAATGACTTGATGTAAAAATTATAAGAGAACACGTTTTCATTTGACTCTTTTAATAGAAATTTATGTGTTGTTGGTTGAAATTATTAAAATCCAAGGCCTTCAACACAACTTCACTGATTGCAACTGGCACATCTTCATTGAACTACAACGAGCTTATTGTTATAAAATTATGAAAATACAAATTAGTTATTTTCATTTTTAATTAGCACAATAAATCATTTTATTTATCTATTATTATTATCATTATCATTATCATTATTATTATCTCTGGGTAGACTTGGCCGGATATAATACCTTGCATTATACAATTTCTCTAAATTTGGACTAGTAAGCGCTTGCAATAGGGTGCCATGTTGGTAGGAACAAGTAAAAGTTGTAGGTGATCAACCCGCTTGTTCTTGGGGGCAGTGGCGGATCCAGGGGTGGCCACCCCGGGCTACGGCTCAGCCCTCTTCTGCATTCGGAGCTAGTATAGTTCCTATAAGTTTATCGATTTTAGCTATTCTATCCAATATTATTTTATAATAAAATTGTGTGGAATTGAGAAAATGGGTTAGATGAAGATGTTCAAATCACAACTCCAAATTTAGCCTAGAAATATTAGCTCAAATGATTCTCTTCTAAATAAAAACAAACAATGTAACCTAAAATTATAAAACTCTAAAACGTAAAAGACTAAAGGGTAAAAAAAAAAAAAAAAAGACTAAAGGGTAATGTCTATTTTTTATCCAAACATTTTTCAGATTCTTTTATATTATCCAAACCTATGAAAATGTTATTAATTATCCAAATCTTTCGTAATGCATCAAAATATTAGCCATTTTTACGTTATTGTTAATAATTTTGTAACTCTTTTCTTAGTTAAAATAGTAAAATTTTGGAATGTTGACCTTCATGTGTCTCTTCCAAGTCAGTATCATGTTGCCAAGTCATCATTACTAACAAAATTGCTAATTGGAAGTTAACATTTGGCTAATTCTTAGTATTTCGATAGATTTTGATAATATAAAAGAATCTGAAAAAGGTTTGGATAAAAAATAGACATTACCCAAGACTAAAAGAACTATGAGGTTTGTTCTCTTGAAAAATTACTAAAGCATCTCGTGGAAAGAGGGATGAACACACAATACAAATTGATTAGTCGATTGATTTGTCTAGTGATGACATTGCCCGTGTCAACAACTATTATGGAGAAAACCTTTTCAACAATGGAACAGGTGAAATATGATTTGTGCAACAAAATGAGCGATAAATTTCTCGCTGTTTGGTTAACTATTTTATTCGAAGGAGAATAGTATGCTATTGGTATGCCGTATCCGCGGCAAATCAATCGACCACCATTTTGGCATTTTCTCCTTACCATTCCATTCACCATTATTCGCCTCATTCCATTCACCAGCCGTCCTAGCCGGTCCTTCCTGCCGTCGGCCACACCATTCCGCCGCCGTCACACCCCTCGCATGCCGTCCACCCCCAGTTATTTCCTTGGAATTCCACGATTTCACACGGCGACCAATCTATGCCCGTCCAACCGCCGTTATCTTCTTCTTCTTCTCAATTTATACCGTCGGCACTCGACACTACTATTATCTCCACTACCTACCTATTCCGGCGTGGAGATTATTCAAGTGTGCACTCATATTTAGTTCACTAATTATTGAGCTTCATATTGAAATAGAGTAGTATTCACTTCCTTTCTAATCCTGAATTTGCAGTCATTCCATTAGAAACATAATATCTTTTTTCATTACTCCAAACCAGAATCATTGTCAATTGCATCAATCTTTTTTTTTTTTTTTTTATCTTGGATAACACATTTCACATGTTGGTAAAGACAACTTTTTCCGTAGTGTTTGTCGGATTATATTATGGCCGGAGTCTTACTTACCTAGCTTTTAACCCCCTAAGTGAATCACGTCACTTGATTATTGCAGATGGACCGAAAAGGCAAAAGATCGACAATTACCCTACCTATATACTATGTTAAATATTTATACATAAGAACAAAAGGCTTCAAGTGTGTCTACAAATAAAATGTGAAGGCTTATCGACTATCCTACTATATATGTAATATATTTGTGTACTACAACAAAAGGCTTCAGTTATGTGTAAAAATAAGATGCAAGGCTTTTCTAAGTACCATATTAGATTTTTATGTATAAAAACAAATGACTTCAGTTTTGTGGTTCAATAAGATGTAAATGTTTTCCTAAACTACTGCTACAATGAATAAATAAGGTTTTTGCTCTTCATGCTGATATATTATAGCACAAATCCTTTGATACAAGATTCGTATAAGACCTGCAAAGCTTATTCTATACCTATAATGTAGCTAAACAGGAGTAAGAGAAAAAAGCAAGCGACATGTTCATAATAAAAATAAAATGGAGACGTTCTTAGCACTGGCGGAGCCAGGAATCTGAATGAATGGGCCTAAAAAAATTACGTTCATAGGTTTGAACCGGAGAGGAGGGGCTAAAATCTTACCACCTATTCTATTATACAAATTTGCTGTGAAATTTACACAACTTTGAGAGTTAGGGGGGCTATAACCCCTCCTGTTAAAAACGTGGCTCAACCACTAGTTCTGAGGCCTAAAGGTGATTAGTAAACAAAAAACGAAAAACAAAACATCCCTTCAATACAAACACACACCAAACAAACATGCAATAATAATTCATAAATCATAAGCAATACAGCTCAGACCCGGCCAAAGGCCGGGCACAAAGCTAGTAATTAAGAAAGAAGAAAAAAAGAAAAAAATACAGCAAATTTAATAGAGAACTTAGACACCTCCGAAAGCTTGGCTGGGCGACCGCGGTGACCGGAAAGCAGCATCGGCGCCGGAGGTGATCCCAACTGATTGACAAATTCCAAACTGCCAGCCGGTCGTCGCCCTAGCTAACAGGCTAGTCACGGTACATGAAAGCAAGCTTGTATTCCCGTCCAACGTGAACCAAGAAGAAAGATGTACCTGCCATTAAACGATTGTCCCACGAATAGGGAAGTCGGATAGGGTGAGTATACTCCGAGAAAACAGAGCATCGAAAATTGCCGTCGTAATAAGCCATCATCGTCAAGCTGCCATCACTCAGGTGAGTCGTCTTCATAAGCCACCAGTTGTCTTGGTCGAACGAGCCTGAAGAACTGTACACATTCATCTTGGGAGGAGGCGGCCAATCTTTGGAATCTTCATCCACCACACTTGTCCAACTGTAAAACAAGAACGGCACGCTCCCCTTTTGATATGGCTTGTAGTTGAAATTACTCGATTTGCGTTCATCGATGCAAAAAGTATCACGGGGTACTGGTCGCCTTCTGCTTATTATGTCGTCATTGCAGAAAGAAAGGGACACTAATTTAGTTGTAGTTGTCTTCACCCATGATTGCTTGGGACGTTGCTCGGGCTCGCGAGGAACTTGTAACAGTTGGTCTTTCAGCTTTCGCATTTCATCTGCATTCTCTTTCATCATTTCTTCCTTCTCACTCCTTAGCTTCTGAGACTCGGCGGTCTTCTCATTCGCAAGCTTCTGCAATGCTTCGTTATCATTTCCCACTTTTTCTAGCCTTCTTTTCATCTCTTCGTCCTTCTTCATTACCTCTTGCCTCATTTCCGCCGCATCCTTCTTCAACTTCTGCCATTCATCACTGTCTATCGTTATCTTTCCCTTCTCGCCTACTGCTGCTTCATCTTCCTTCTTATTAGCTCTTTTCATATTCTTCACCTCCTCCCTCAGTTTTTTCAGTTCCTCATCCTTCACTTTGCTCAGCTTTGCTGCGTCGTCCTTTTCTTTTCTCAACGCCTCTAACTCCTCGTCTTTCTCCTCCAACTCCCCGTCCTTCTCCCTCTTCAGCGTTTCTAGCTCGCCATCTTTTTGCTTCGACAGCTTCCGCAGCTCCTTGCCATTTTTCTTCTCCAACTCGCGTAGCTCTACCCCGTGTTTCCCCCTCTCTTCTTTTAGCTTTTCCATCTCCCAATGTTGTTCTTCCATCTCCTCTCTCATCTTTCCGATCTTTTCATCCCTTCCTTCGATCATTCTTTTCAACTCCTCGTACTTCTTCTTGCTCACAGCAGCTCCTCCAGACATTGGCCGCTTCTTCTGATCCACTTTCGGTACGGAGTACTGCAACACCAGGCGTCGCCACGTGGTGATGCCCGCTATTTTGATACCGTGATACGGCCAGTTGAAAAGATCATTCAATCGGAGGTAGTGAAACCCAAAATCTTTGTGCTCGCCTAACCCGGTAACATCCTGGAAACATAACCCTTGAGGGCTCACCCTCAATTGGAGCCGGGTGAGGTGTTGGGCTAGCTTGGTCAACGCCTCCCGTCCCTCAATCTTCCCATGACCATCGAAGAACATCAGTCCGTCGTAAGACGTCCTCTGCTGATGCAGCATCGCCATCATCTTGTTCCTCATCATTGCTTTGATCGTGATCACTGGCGGTGATGGTGGCGACTTCCTTCCAGTGATTCTTTCCAATGGAGGAAGGATTGACAGCAGGGTTAGTCAACTCATAGACCTTAAGGGTGGTTCTATCCGAGGAGGCAACGAAGTGCTTGCCGGACTTGAAATCAAAGAGAACCATTGTATGCTATTTGTGTTTTCTGGTCGAGATGATGAGTATTAGAGAGGTTGGGATGTAATGCTAATTTGCTAATTAACTAGGAAGGGGAATTGGCCGGGGGAATCTTTCTACTCCCATCCAGGCTCCAGCAGATTATCTTGAATGGAGATTGGAATGGAATTGCAGAATTTGAATGGTGGCGATCATGTTATATATAATAATAATGATCTTGCTGTGTGGGTGGAATTGGATACCGCTAATTGCCTTAATTAAAATTCAAATATAATAGTGCATCTATTTCATTAATTGGAAATTGACATTTCTTAGAAAGGATGAGTTAGGGTTTAAGGATTGACTCTTAGAGTCTTATATAAAGATATGTCTTAGCTTCTTCGTCCATATTTTCTTTTAAAAAATAACCAATCGCCTAATTAAAAGAAAAAAGAATGACTTTGTCCAATAAATTATAAAATGTAGTCTATTATTATTATTATTTTAGTAGACTTTTTCATAATAATTTTTTATTTGATAGACTTGGCATCATGTAGTCTTTTTTTAATCAATTCATGATGGATTAAAATACTTCCCTTGTTCTTAAGAAAATTAAATGAGTCGACGACCGAAGAACACACCACCACACAAACACATACTAGAAGACAGTTTAGTTAATTGTGGTGGGTAGGAGAGGAGCTCATCTATTATGCTTCAAAGTATTGATGTTTTCGATATTTATTAAATTTGTACGAAAACGAATAGGTATAAATCGAGCTGAATCAAGCCGTCCGAAGAGAACTCAAATGGGTATGGAACTCATCCGGCGCCGAATACCTGTTAGAAATGGGATTCCAAATTGTACAGAGTATGAGGAGAGGCCAAATTCTCGACTGGAAAAATGAAACGATCATCCCTTTAGAATATTTCGATTACCCAGAAAAGCTGGGATGATTGACCTAAATACAGTATTATCTATTATTATTTGTTATTATTGTCTCTTTGATAGACTTGGCTGAATATATAATACCTTGCATTTTACAATTACTCTAAATTTGGACTAGTAAGCGCTTGTAATAGCGTGGCATGTTGGTAGGAACAAGTAAAAGTTGTTGGTGATCAGCCCACTTGTTCTGTCATTATCTATAATAGCTGAGTTGAGAACATTTTTTCAACATTTCAAATTTCTTCCGACAAGAACAAAAATAGAAAGAGGAAATATGTCTTCACAGTTATTTATTTCTTATTCATGAAAAAAGATATATCAAATCCTGAGATTTTGAACCGTAACAACAAAAACACGAAGCATTACCAATTACACTCGAAACGAACCAATGATCGAGAAAAATATATGTTTTCCCCCTTGGTAGGCCGAGATCGTTACATGACTTAGATCTGACTTAAGACTAGAGCTTGAAAACTCTTCTTGATTTTCTATGGCGGATGGAAGAATGGATGGAAGGCGACTAATCGTGTTTTAATTCGTTCAATTTTTTTTTTTTTATGAATGATTCATTCAATTCAGTATTTTTATTCTTCTCAATCAAAATTTAGAGTTTAGGCTAACATACACCCGGGCGTGTCAGTGACAAACCAAAGTGTCATATATACTCATCCTAATAGATTCGGGTTTCACAATTCTTGTTGCTGATATATATGGAGCACATGTAAATGGATCACATTCGGGATTTGAAAATTTGGTACTGGAATAACTCGAAGCACTATTACATTGATGACTTATATTAGTCTTAACAGATAAATGAAGTTGGGGAAGGCGGAAAAGACACATGCAGCAACGCAGAAATAATTAATAGAGTAATTAGACACCTCCGGAAGCTGCTGGGCCACCGGAGTACTCCCCGGAGAGCAGCTGACTGACAACAATAAGTGGAAACGACCGGCCGGCCGGCCAGCACGCACTCACACCCTAGCAGGCTACTCAATCGCGGTACAAGAAAGCAAGCTTCCATTCGTAGGCCACGTTAGCCAAGATGCAAGCTCTATCTGTTACCAAAGCAACACTGTCAAATTCATAGGGAACTCGGACAGAAGAACGTAAATTGCCGTCATAATAAACCATCATCGTCAAACCGCCACTCGGGTGGGTTGTCTTAATAAACCACCAGTTGTCTATGTCAAATGGGCGACCGAATGTGTGCACTTTAATCTTTGGGGGAGGCTGCCAATCTTTGGGATCTTCATCCACCAAAGAGAGGGTATCTACTTGCGAGAAAGGCCTAGTCGTCGGCAACACATTGGGCTCCATTTTCCCGCATACCTCATAGTAGAAATGGGTCCATCCAACTCCGCCGGGCAGACTCCAAGTATCCCGTGGCACCGGCCGTCTTCTGCTTTTTATTTGTTCACTCTGCATAGGGCCGCGAAGGAGCAATAACTTTGCTGTAGCTGTCAGTAACCATGATTGCTTGCGGCGTTGCTCCAGCTCCCGAGGAAGTTGTGACAGTTGGTCCCTTAGCTTTTTCGTTTCGGCTGCATTCTCTTTCGTCATTTCTTCCTTCTCCCCCTTCAGCTTCTCCACCTCCTCTCTCAGCTTCTCCAGCTCCTCGTCCTTCTTTCCGATCGTCTTTTTCAGCTCCTCGTACATCTCCTTGCTCACACCGTCGGCGGTGGGCGTAGGCCGCTTCTCCCCTCTCGGGACGAGGTACTTCAACACCGAGCGGCGCCACGTGGTGTTGCTCGCCATTCTGATACCATGATATGACCAGTTGAAAAGATCGTTCAGTCCGAGATAGTGAAGCCCGAAAGCTTTGTGTTCTCCCAACCCGGTAACATTCTGGAGACAAAACCCTTGAGGACTCACCCTCAGTTGCAGCCGGGTGAGGTGCTGGGCTAACTTGGTCAACGCCTCCCATCCCTCGATCTCCCCGTGACCATCAAAGAACATCAACCCGTGGTAAGAAGATTCCTCTTCCTCTGCTGATCCTCTGTGATCATCGTCATGGTCCTCATCGTCGCTCTGATCGTGATCACGGGCGGTGATGGTGGCGACTTCCTTCCAATGATTCTTTCGGATGGAGGAAGGATTCACAGTAGGGTTGGCCAACTCATAGACCTTAAGGGTGGTTCCGTCCGAGGAAGCAACGAAGTGCTTGTCGGACTTGAAATCGAAGAGAACCATGGTAGGCTAATTTCTAACAAGGTTGGGGCCGGCGGGAATACTTTTTGCTCCGATCCTGCTGATGATCAAGATCAGAGATTGGGATGGAATTGCAGAATTTGTGGGGAGGCCACCACGTTATATATAATAATAGGGTCTTGATTAAAATATAAACGGTATATATAATAGTACTGCATCTATCAAATTAATCGGAAAACGAGATTTCTAAGAAATCATGAGTTAGCACTTAAAGATATGTCTCGCCTTCTTTATCCACTCACATTGCATTTTACGGTTCTCCAAATTTGGAGCAGGTAGACCACCTTACTTAAACATGATTTGTTAGATAAATTTGGAGCAGGTAGCGTGTATGGGTACTCATGGATTTATGAATATAACCACCAATAATCCCTTGAAGCACTCACTTCTTTATATTGTCATATTACTAAGCATCAATAAAATCGTCCATATTATTAATGCAGTATTGTTGTAAAGACAAATAGCATTCATAATTGATCATAGGATTAGATGCAAAATGACATCGACACGCTTTTCGAGTGCAAGGCGGACTCAATTTTATCAAAACTTATATTAATTTCAGAAGCGAGTGACACCCACTTCTATCAAACCTGCCAACATTAAATTTTATTCAATATAATCAGATAAAGTCAAATTGGATACCCATGGATCCGAATTCAATTGACAGCCCCTACTCATAATGCTTCCAACAAGTTTATAATTCCAGTGATTGCAATATTAAATTTAGCATGAAGGGGTTTTAGGTTTGCATCTATCCTTTTATGAAGGTTTTCTTGAAAAATATCCTTTCACCTAATTAAAGAAGAATGACTTTGTTGAATGAATAATACAATGTAGTCTTTTATTGATATTTTTTGGTAGACTTGGCCGGATAAGTTGTATAATATATAGTCATTTTTAAATAATTCATGTTTGAACATTTAATAAACCGACCAAACCAAAAAGTCAAGAATAAAACAAAACGAATTTGATTGTCGAATAGTCTTTAATTATTTAATCTTTTGGCAGGCATGACCGAGTAAATAGTACCATGTAGTCTTTTTTAACAATTCATGAATAAATATTTCCCCGTTTTAACAATTCCATTTTTAACTTGTAGCTCATTAATTGCATAGAAAATTGCATATATTAGTTTAGCTTCTTCGGGTTAGATATCCTTAGGTTGATGTTACTGCAGGGGTTTGTGATTTTTATCTAATGTTCTAATTTGTATTATCTTTTGGTACCTCGTCGGAAGCTTTTCATTTGTTGCATTGATAAAGGGCTTTGTTCGATAATGATGAGAGGCGACGCCAAGGTAATCTACAACAAGGTTAGCGCGAGGTGTGTTGCTTATGCGAAAGGTGGTGCGCTCTTTCGTGAAGTCAGGGGCTGTTCAACAGGCGTACTCAGAGATTCTAGTAGAGTTTATTGGTAGACAAAACAATAACATTGCTCATTTGGTGGTAAGGGAAACTATACACATTAAATGTTAATCCTTGGAGGGAGGTGGCCAATCCTTGGAGCAATCCCATCTCCTTCCTACTAGTTGGCAGTGGCATCATATAGTCTTTTTTAAACACTTTAAAGATTAAATATATACTTTTTCGTTCAGAAATAAGTCGACGACCTAAGATCACAAGAAAACATATTATAAGTCAATTTACTTGCTGTGGGTGAGAGAGTGTCATGTTTTTAATTCAAGTTTATGACTTATTGTTAGAATTAAAGCATATACAAGCATGGGCTTTGTAGCTAATTACAATTATTTGTTTTAGTCATCCTACTTTTCCAGTTTAACTATTACAATTTGAGAGGTGAGGCTTTCGCCAAGTAATAGCATAGCATGAAATCACAAAAAGTACATGTCTTTAGTTTGTTTATTAATTAACATGATTGTAACAACATTGCCCAATCTCCAGTTAAGGTACACTAATCTTCAGTTTAACCGTCCCTTGCCCAGAATTATCAAATTTCCTCTCATCCATTGGGCGGCCACCATTTCTCTTTGCAGATAACTGAAACAAAAATGGGGAAAAATTAGATTATGCATTTGCCTACTATTATAGAACAAAACTGGAAAAGTTTATTTATACATCCTTCTACAACTTTGTTGCAAACAAATAGAGAGAAAGAAATAAACAAATGTATTGCTTTACAATTTATAAAACGATGGCAACTTAGAAAACAACAAAGATCAAGGCTACCTAAGAAGACTAAACAGGGGACTATGACACTTACCCACAGTGACATAAGTATCACACTGAAGTTCTATGAAGAACCTAATAAGTGTCTGCCATGTTATTACAACTTGAAGTTCAAACTACGTGCAAACCACAAATATTCATAATCACCCTGCTAATCTTTCGGATCTTACCCATCATGCCTACTTTCTCCGGAAGCTGGTGGGTCACCGGAGTACGTACTGCCGGGAGAGCAGATCAGAGCTGATGACAACATCCAAACTTTCACACTCACATGTACACCAAACCAAATAAAGCAAGCGTAAACAAATTGAAAACCACCGGCCGGCCAGCCCGCAATCACACCCTAGCTAGCAGGCTACTCGCGGTAGAAGAAAGCAAGCTTCCATTCGTTGCCCACATTAGCCAGGATGCAAGCTGTATCTATATGAAAACGAGTGAGGTCGGCTGCATGGGGAACTCGGACATTAGAAACGGTATTGTTGCCGTCGTAATAAGCCATCATCGTCAAGCCGCCATTTGGGTGGACTGTCTTAACAAACCACCAGTTTTCTATGTCGAATCGGCCACTGGATATTTTCACGTTTATCTTGGGAGGGCGCAGCCAAGCTTTTGAATCTTCATCCACCAGAGAGAGGCTATCTGTTAGCGCGAACGGCCAGTTGCTTCTCTCGGTTCTTTGCTCATAATAGAAACTACCCCATCTAACTTGGCCGGGCAGGATCCAAGTATCCCGTGGCACCGGCCGTCTTCTTCTTTTTATTTGACCACTCTGCTTAGGGTCGCCAATGGCCACTAACTTTGCTGTAGCTGTCAGTAACCATGATTGCTTACAGCGTTGCTCCGGCTCCTGTGGAAGCTGATGAGACAGTTGGTCCCTTAGCTTTTTCGTTTCGGCTGCATTCTCTTTCGTCATTTCCTCTTTCTCGCCCTTCAGCTTCTCCACCTCCTTCCTCAGCTTCTCCAGCTCCTCGTCCTTCTTTCCGATCATCTTTTTCATCTCCTCGTACATCTCCTTGCTCACACCTCCAGCTGGTGTAGTTCGCTTCTCCCTTTTTGGTACGGTGTACTCTAACACCAGGCGTCGCCATGTGGCCATGCTCGGCGTTCTGATACCATGATAGGACCAGTTGAAGAGATCGTTCAGTCTGAGATAGTGAAACCCAAAAGCTTTGTGTTCGCCCAACGTGGTAACATCCTGGAAACAGAACCCTTGAGGGCTCACCCTCAGTTGCAGCCGGGTGAGGTGTTGGGCCAGCTTGGTCAACGCCTCCCGTCCCTCGATCTTCCCGTGACCATCGAAGAACATCAGTCCATCGTATGTTTCATCGTCGTCATCATCGCCTTCGTCTTGGTCGTCGTCGTCAATTTGATCGCGATCACGGGCAGTGATGGTGGCGACTTCCTCCCAATGAGTATTCCTGATGGAGGAAGGATTGACAGAAAGGTTGATCCACTCGTAGACTTGGAGAGTGGTCCTGTCCGAGGAAGCAACGAAGTGCTTGTCGGACTTAAAATCAAAGAGAACCATTATTGTATGCTATTTGTGTTTCTGGTCGAGGTGATTGTTGGAGATATTGGGATGGGATTGCAGAGTTTGTATGGTGGCCATCCTGCTATATATAGTAATAGTATTGGCTCAAGATACCCAGTTTCTTCGTCCACAATTTCTTTTTTTAAAAATTTCTCTAAATTTGGACTAGTAAGTGTTTGCAATAGCGTGACATGTGCCAAGAAAGAAAAGGGCACAACAAAACAAATTAGATTGCCAAATAGTCTTTTTCCATAGGTAGACTTGGAACCATGTAGTCTTTTTTAAACAATTAACGATTAATTGCTTCCCCGTAGCCGACGACCTAAGAACACAAGAAAACATATTAGAAGTCAATTTACTTGCGGTTGGTGAGAGAATATCAAGTTTTTAATTCGATTATATGACTTATTTGTACGTTCATATATAGGCATATATATAGAAAATGACTTGATATATAAGTTATAAAAAAAAAACATTTTCATTTGACTCGCAAAAACAAAAGAAAATAATGTAAATTTCCCCGATATAATTTATTCTCGATCTACACCTTTTAAGTATATATTTCTATTGTGAGATAATATAATTATCAATGTTCAAAATTATTATGTGATAAATCAATAGTATCACTACTAATAATCTTACCTATCTATTTATGATCTCAAGTTAATAAATTAACGGTCAGCTGTACAACACAGGATTTTTGTGCTAGTATGATATTAATCAACATGGACATGGTTATTGAACAATATGATCACTATACTCAACTATATTTAGAAAAAAAATTAGACGCTGAATTTTGAGTCTAGATAATATATTTTTTTTATGGGAGAGTCTAGATAATTAAAGCACTAAACTCGATGATATAGGTTATGTGAACCACCAATCACAGAATATACTCAAAATATCCGGTCAATTTAACTTGTACCTTGTATTTCTTGACCATTTGAAACAAACTACATAGGGTTTGACCAATATATATATAGTGTCTATATATACTGATGCGATATCGACTAGCGCGATATTCAATTCTCGTGGTCCAAAAATGAAAATTCGAATACAACGATATAAGGATCAAATGGGATCATTCTTGATGGATATGGAATTGCATCGAGGAAAGCCCAGCACATTACTACAATTTGTGGACCAGAATCAAGAGAAGATGGGCTTGGAAGGAGGAGTGAAGAATTTGGGCTAGAAGTAAGGAATTCTCCATGGTGTGAACACAAGGTGTGAACAGAAGGTGTGAAAAGAATATCAAGTGTGAACACAAGCCATGTGAGGGAGGATTGCAAGGCTAGAATCTAGTGAGTTGTTGACTTGGTCTTTTCCTTGTCTTTTAAGGATTGTGTTTTCCTTTTACTTTTCCTTTAAGGTTTTGTTTTCCTTTTAATTGTAGGATTTGGTTACTTGTTTGCTTTCATTCTTAGTTTAGGATTGGATTTTCGTTGCCTATATAAGGAGGATGAGTCCTTCATTGTAATTCATTCTATTATCAATCAACTTTCAAGTTTCATGTTCAAACGAACTGGTTCTTTGTGCAAGCTTCTGTCGAGAGTGCTCCAGAGGTTTCACGTGTCTCTTATCAACTAGAGAACGCGTCTAGTTGTGGCGAGCTTCTACCCTATATCAATTGCCCCTTTCCACGAGTTGGTGCTGTCCGATTGGTTTCATATACCAATTGCCCTTCATCACGGTTGGGATTGTCCGATTGATTCCGCATTATCTTTTATTTTTCGAGTTCAAGAAAGGAGACATTAGAAAATCATAAAAAGATCGTTGAAGCTGCGTACTTTGGTCATATAATCCGAGTTCGAGGGTTCTCTTCGGATTTGGATCATATCATATACTGGTTATTAACCCATGAAACAAACTAAAGTATCATACGTACTCATCCTAATAGATTATGTTGAGGATATTAATTACTTAGTCAAAAGTAATTAATTCCTTGTCATACAAGTCGGGAATGGATCAGGTCAGTAACCTTATGGTGAGTAATCATGAGTAACCCGTCCACATCAGCATGACATCAGCATCCTCTCTCACATTGAAAGCCTTTAATTTTCCCTCCTTAATCTTTGGCGGACGATTTCTCGCTCATTTTAAGTCAAAATTTAATTTTTTTTTGCACAGTTAGATCAGATTAATTGTGCTCTTCAAAATGATATCCACTTTAATATATTTTTCGAACAAAAAAAATTGAGCCATTTTTTACCAGCCTATACCATATGGTATTGACTGGTATTGAAATAAAAGCATACCTATGTTTTGAAAAACGTATCATGGTGGTATGAACAAACCAATACTGTAGGATGGTTGAATACATGATAGTAGAAGTATATTAATTGTAATTTACGACTTTTAACATTGTATACCACACAATACCACCCCGTACCAGGGCGGTATTGTATGGTATTGTGTGGTATTTTTTGGTCCTGTAATTTGTTCACCCAGAAATTTGTAGATCCAATAGATCATGATGAACTCGTCCCTTCTGTGCAAACGTTTTCAAAAACGAATTAAAAACGAAGAAGATACCATACAATACCACCCCGTACCAGGGTGGTATTGTATGGTATTGTGTGGTATTTTTTGGTCCTGTAATTTGTTCACCCAGAAATTTGTAGATCCAGTAGATCACAATGAACTCATCCCTGCTGTGCAAACGTTTTCAAAAACGAATTAAAAACGAAGAAGATACCATATGGTATGCAGTTGGTACCGGGAGGCCAGAATTTTTTTTTCCCTCAAAAAATATTGAAAATTGATCTCATTTTGTAGAGCACGGTGAACTCGTTCCATCTGTGCAATAAAAATTAAAATCCGAGTTAAAACGAAAAGGATATGAGTCAATTAAGAAAGCTAGTGAAAATAAAAATATTCTTTAATTCTCCATCCTTAGATCTGGATTTTCTAAATGAAGGGTCCAGATTTGGTTATTGATGGGTGCATAACCCATGGTTATGCACCCTATCTTGAGCCATACAAGTCCCTTGTTTCCTTGTTCAAGTAAAAGAAGGAAACTTGGTTGTAATTAGGGTTTTAACCCTACGTCTATCTCTATATAAGCTTAAGCTACGAGATTGTCATAAGCAAGCCGTCACAATGTAGTCCCTAATAAAATATGAACGAGCTCACCGTGGATTAGTCTCGATCAATCAATCGATCGAGAATACCACGTAAATCTCGTGTGTTCGTGCGTTGTTCCAATTCCACATCATCAAATTCTACATATTAAGGTTTCGCGATTCACTTCCTCGATCGACATCGCATTCCCCCCCCCCCCCCCCCGCCGATATGTTGCTAGTATGGAGTACTTACATTTGGGATTTAATTTGGTATTTGAATAACTTGAAGCACCAATCGATTGGTTTTTGCGCTATACTTTTCGGGAGGTGATTACAACATGATGACAAAATCCAAACAAACAAACCAAATAAAGAAGGCGAAAACAAACTGGAAACGATCAACACGCCCTCACCCAACAGGTTTACTCACGGTACATGAAAGCAAGCTTATATTTGCGGCACACGTTAACTATGGCGCAAGGTCTATCTGTTAGTAAAAAAAACGTGTCGCATGCATAAGGAAGTTGGATATGGTAGCCAGTTGTATCGAACGTAGAACGAAAGAAATCGCCGTCATAGTAAGCCACCATCGTCAACCCGCCACCCGGGTGGGTCGTCTTTACAAACCACCAGTTGTCTGTGTCGAATGAGCCAGAGACATTGTGCACATTAATCTTGGGGGGAGGCGGCCAATCTTTGGGATCTTCATCCACCAACGAGAGCGTATTTGCTAGCGTGAACTGCGAGGAGCACCCGTTCATACTTTGCATGCACTGAAAATAACCCAATTTCACTTCGGCACACCGACTCCATGCATCTCGTGGAACCGGCTTTCTAGCGAAAACCCGGTTTGGGACTACTGCATAAGGGTATTACTTCTTCGATCTTCTTGTTCTTTAAAGAAGGGGGTGGGTAGCGGAGAGGATTTTCGGATGATGGGGGATTTTCGGGCGGCAGTTTTGTTATGTTTTTCGGTCTATCTTGTAATGTTAGTAATGTTTATATGACTAATTAGTATAATGGTAATTTGTATTATTTGTTTTTCTAGTTTGTATATTTTATGTTGTGATCCGTATGCTTTGTATCTATTGGTTTGGAATACAAGTTTACCGATTTGTATTATAACTAGTAGTATTTTGTAAGGTTAGATATGCTTTATAAAGTTTTTTGGTTTGTTTTATATATTTGTAAGTTTGTCGCTTTTGTCTACCATTTTTGTACTGTTAAAAAGATAACCTGGTTGACTTATGGATGAAACTACTCTATATAACGACGGAGCCTCTAAAGTCAACCTGGTTGTTTTTCTATTTTGTATGATTTGTATTGTTTGTATTTCCATGTATGAATTGTAAATCTAATCTGTATAGTTTGTATGTTTTGTATTGTTTGTATAGTTCGTCATATTTGTCCACCATGATAATTTTCATATCACGTGTTATAATCTTATGTACATACAAGTAATACCACATGCCACATGGTATGAACTAGTAAGACAAGTGTCAATTTTTTGTTCCAAAATATATCAAAATGGTTGTCATTTTGAAAAGCACAATTAATATGATTTTTAGTACAAATTTTTTTGTTAATTTTAACTTAAAACAAAGAAATATAGCCATTTAAAATTTATTGAAAGAAAATTAATAACCTTCTAAAAATGATAAATACAAAATTATATATAATTATTCACTCATAAGTCATAAGTCATAACTAAGTCAAGCCCTGAATCGGCTCCTCATCCTGAGGGCAACCAAATGCAAACAAGACAAAAAGAATAAGGGGATACGGGCAAGACCTCATCATCTCTGGCCCAACCAACGAGATCCAAACCACAAGAGCCCAACAATTAAACGTGGCCCGCAACGTCTCCGTCAATCTGCCGCCACGAGCCCGGCAAACCCCCCACCGGCATTTAACAGCTTTCTTCTTCTCCTCCATCTCTGTAGTTTCTTCTTTCAGCTCCGTCCAAATTCTGAATTTCCTTCCATTGAAAGCCATGCTTCCCGATTCAATTCATTGCTTCTCTGGAAGTTCCGGCCGTCGGCGCTGAGCCTGCGGGAGAACGAATCGAAAGATGAGGTAATATCATTTATTATTCGCCTCTCTTTTTTCTCTTGGCGCTCTCGATTTTCCCCTTGATTCGGATTGTCTTGTTTGGCTGTCGAGAAAATTGGCCGAGAAACTAGATTACCCTAAAGAAGAAAAAAGATTCATTCCATGTGCTGAAAATTTCGACTTGCCTAATGCTGCTGCTGCTGCTGCGACAGCTTTCTCTTCTGATCCATCAATCGCTGAAGCTCAGCTTCAATCTCCTCTTCCTCCTCGGAGATCCTCGTCAATTCCATGTCCAGCAATCTCAGCTCCAGTTCTCCTATGACCAACCTTGCATCAGCCACCTTCCATTCCGCTGAATTAGCTGTTGCCTTTGCTTTGGCACTCTTCATGCTCCTCACTGTCTCAGGAACGGTTTGTTCCATCTCTGCTAGCAAATCCAGCACACTCTCCGGCACTGCTGCTGCCGCCTTTTCGTCGTCGTCGGCGCAATTCGAGCGCGAAATCTGCTCAATCATTTCCAGAACACGATCCTCAATGTCCCCAATCGCATTGGCTTCATCCCAATCGTTGAAAGACTGCTGCTCTACTGCTGCTTGGGTAGGCTGATTCTGCTCTGGAGGATCCACTGTTCTGATTCTCTTGTGAAGCAAGCATTTTTCATTTTCATCTTCTGATTCAGCAATGTTGATCTCGGCATCCAAATCTGCTGCTGTTTCAGGAGATGAATGTTCTTCCTTGGTACCAATAGTAGCATTACGCTGCCTCCTTTGCTTTTGATGATAACCTGCTAATCGACTTCTGCAGTTTCTCTCCTCTTCATCAAAATCACAGAGGACATGAAACCTGTTGAAAGAGAGGTGTAATGTAGATCATAAGAACTCATAGAGAAAGTACTGGAGAAAGGCTTTTAGAACAGGGTTGCTAAATTTTTTGAGTTTCATCACCTGCAACATTGCTGGCAAAACCGCTGCAGGATATTGCCTAGTAATGCGGCAGTAGCCATGCAATGAATCTCACAGATCTTGTGTTGTTGGTGATAAGTCTCTGCCCCGCTAAGATCGATTTGGCAGTCTTCCACCTGGCAAAGAATTGGTTCGGTTGTTGCAGAAAGTGTCGTCGTTTCATCAGTCTTTGCATCGTCATGATCATGATCATCATCATTGCATAGTTGTTGTTGTTGATCTTCCATCTGCAAAAGAGTTGCAATCTCACTTTGCTCCGCTTCTGATTTGTTGTTCTGTGTGTGGTTTATGGTCTGGATGTTGATATCGTGGGAAGAAGATGTGGAAGCATGGGAAGAACCAACATTAGGAGGGAACAATAGTGCCCTCCTGAGTTCTGAAAGTAGAGAACTGATCAAAGGAGTTCTTAGAAATGCTTCTTCCTCCCGTTCTATAGCCTTCTTTCCTCGTATGTCTTTCAGATCTAATGATAGATCTTGTGATAGTGAACCTTCAGCAACAACATCCACTTGCTCAGCTGTGAGCAGTTGTTGTTCACGAGAAGATTCTTTATTAGCTAAAATGGTTAGCCAAAGAGAAACATCAATAAAGTTTTACAGTATTTGTCAACCATCAAATTTTCTTTACTTTCTACCTGGAATGTCACTGTTGCTGTTGGGTAGATTCTCCCGGTGTCTTGCTTCTGTGGAAGGCATGGCAGAAAACCCCAAATGTGGCTTTGCTAATGAGGGCACTGCTCCATCCTGATCGTCACCAATGTACTTCCACATACTGGAGCAGCCAGAAATATTAAGAGTTTCAAGAGATTTCATCAAGTGGATAACACTACGTGGGAGGTTGGCAAGTTTTGCACAGTTTTTGAGGTTCAATTCACTGAGATTTGGTAGACATCCAAGCGAAGGAGGAAGCCTGGTTAGATTTGAGCAATCAGAGAGATCAAATGTCTTGAGCAACTTCAATCTGATTAAACTTGGAACTCCTTTCAAACTTTGGCATCCCTTGAGGTTGAGATGCTGAAGCTTTGTAAGATACTGAATGGATGAGATCCCAACCAAGTTTGCACAGCCTTCAAGGTTCAAACTTTCTAGTTTCTGAGCCTTTGATAGATCCGGAATCCAGAGCAAATCGGAATGCTTTGCATCAAGACACTTCAAGCTCACAAGATGCTGTCAAAAGGTAAACAACATTAGAAAAAAATCGAGTTTTTGTGTGATTGCAATTGCAGCAGATAATCAAGAAGGAATTTTTTTGAAACTACCTGCTCCCCTCCCTTCCATAGCTGAGGACGTTTGCTATATGAGAAGAAAAGGGACACAAAGTTGTGCGCAGAACAGAATTTAAGTGAGGGAGCAGGAGGAACGCCATTTTTTCAAGCAGGAGGAACAGAACATTTTTTGTTTCAACACTTTTGATACTGGTTGTTGTGAATTACCGACCTTTTCACAGGAGCAGGAGGGACCTTGAAGGTAGGAGGAACGCCACCGCCGGCGGCGGCCTTCCCACTTGGAGGAGGAGGACTACCCCACTTGTTCAAGTGGCTGTTGTCGTCAATGTCATGATGACCGAGCAAGGAAAGCGCGTTGTCGAAAGACTCCAAAATCTCCTGGACAACCCCTTGCCTGCCGGTTGACTGCTGCTGTTGACTCTTGTTGTTGTCCTGCTGCAGCTCAGGATGACAACGACGGTCGGACGATGACGTCGTCGTTGTTATCGCCGAATCCGACGATGAACAAGAAGGAAGCGGGGGGTCGAGGAGCTGGAGCTTGAGCTGCTTTGCGAAATCTCTCCCTGCTAAAAGCTCTGCTGGCAGGCTAGAGCCATCCCACAAGAATGGGTAGTTGTTGCTGTTGTTGTTCTCCATGAGATCCGACAGCGTCCGAGGCGCAGTGGTATTGGTACTGGTGCTGGTCTTCCCATGGTCAGCCATGGGTGTGGTGGGTACACCAACTCTTATGGCGAGAAGAAGGCTCTGTATATTATGATATAGAAGAGAGACTTGGAAAAGACCGAAGCTGCGGAGCAGGTAGGGAAATTAATTACGACACAATATATTATATATTATGCTGTGTTTGCCGTTATATCAAGATTGCAAATTCAATTAATTTTTTTTTAATTACTGGCTCATCAGGCTCTAGGTTAGTCTCTCTAAATGGTATATCTCAAGAGCATCAATCTGTTTCCTCGTGCTTGCTACTCATCTTGTTCTTCAACGAAATTTAGAATTAGTTTGAATTCATGTCTACTTCTGCGTTGAGTCTAACAAAAATTGCAGGTTCCGGGTTGAAAGTTCAACATGAAGCAACTGAAATGTCCATCAGGATGGCAATTTGAACCCGCCTAGCCGGGTATTACTCGAGCTGATCTATGATGCAGACCGACCAGCCAGCACGCACTCACGCCTTAGCAGGCTACTCAGCCGTAAAAGAAAGCAAGCTTGTATTGGCTGCCCACATAAGCCAGGATGCAAGCCGTATCTATATGGAAACCGGTGATGTCAGCTGCATGGGGAACTCGGACAGAAGAAATGGCATTGTTGCCGTCGTAATAAGCCATCATCGTCAAGCCGCCGTTTGGGTGGGTTGTCTTAACAAACCACCAGTTGTCTATGTCGAATTGGCTATTGTATATGTTCACCTTGATCTTGGGAGGAGGCAGCCAATCTTTCGGATCTTCATCCACCAGAGAGATACTATTTACTGACGTGAACGGCCAGTTGCTGGCCCCGGTTTTTCGCCCATACCAGAAATTGCCCCATTGAAATTCGGAGCGCGGAGTACTCCAAGTATCTTGTGGCACCGGCCGTCTTCTGCTTCTTATTTGGGCAGTCTGCGTAGGGTCGCGAAGGGGCACTAACTTAGTTGTAGCTGTCAGTAACCATGATTGCTTACGACGTTGCTCCGGCTCCTGAGGAAGTTGTGACAGTTGGTCCCTTAGCTTTTTCGTTTCGGTTGCATTCTTTTTCGTCATTTCTAACTTCTCGCCCTTCAGCTTTTCCACCTCCTCCCTCGGCTTCTCCAACTCCTCGTCCTTCTTTCCGATGCGCTCTTTCGTGAAGTTCGGGCTGTTCAGCAGGCGTATTTAGGGATTCTAGTAGAGTTTATTGGTAGACAAAACAATAGCATTTCCCATTTGGTGGCAAGGGAAACTATACACATTAAATGTTAATCCTTGGAGGGAGGTGGCGAATCCTTGGAGCAACCCCATCTCCTTCCTACTAGTTGGCACAATGTATACTTTTCCGTCCAGAAATAAGCTGACGACCTAAGATCACAAGAAAACAGATTATAAGTCAATTTACTTGCAGTTGGTGAGAGAGTATCATGTTTTTAATTCGATTTTATTGACTTATTGTTAGAAAGCATATACAAGCATAAGCTTTGTAGCTAATTACAATTATTTGTTTTAGTCATCCTATTTTTTTTTATCTCTTACAACTAAGTCCTAACCTACCATGGGTCGTCATAATAATTTCCTATGGTTACTTTGGATGGAGAGAGCACCTAATTAACGTGTCTTAACTCGTCCAATTCCGTGCTCTAGTTGTTCTAAATCAAAGTTTAGTGAGCCATATAAATATAGTCGGAGTACGGCGACCATACTTGTCAATCACAAACCAAAGTGTCATACGCATTTCACAATTTTTGCATCCTTGCCATAAGCATTTAAAAATTTGGAACTGCAATAACTTGAAGCACTATTACATCGATGACTTATTAGACTTAATTAACAGAGAAGTTTAGTCGGGGAAGAAAAAAACAAAAGAAACACACAGCAACACAGAGTTAATAGAGTAATTAGTCACCTCCTCTCTGTGTTAGAGAGTGGCATAAGATCCAGCATAACTTTCTCCCAATAACTCGAGTTATTGGGATCAACGGGTTCATGACCGCACTCACACGTCCCTAGCAGGCTCTACTCAACTCAATCGCGGTACAAGAAAGCAAGCTTGTATTGGCCACATACGTAAACCAGGGTGCAAGCTGTATCTGCCACAAAATACTTGGTTTCCCATGCATACGGAACTCGGTTGTTAGAAACTGTATTGCCGTCATAATAAGCCATCATCGTCAAGCCGCCATTCGGGTGTGCGATCTTCACGAACCACCAGTTCTCTTGGTCGAATGAGCCACACAGACTCGACACCGTAATCTTGGGGGGAGGCGGCCAATCTTTGGGATCTTCGTCCACCAAAAAGAATCTGTCTGCTCGCGGGAACGGCCTCGAGTCGGTCCCTATTTTATTGAGTGGATCATATACGAAACGGCCCCGTTTGAAGCTGTCGGACAGATTCCAAGTATCCCATGGCACCGCCCGTCTTCTGCTCGTTATTAGGGCATTCGGATCGAAAATGGACACTAACTTAGTTGTAGCTGTCAGTATCCACGATTGCTTCTTCTCCTGAGGAAGTTGTAACAGTTGGTTCCTTAGCTTTTTCGTTTCGGATGCATTCTCTTTCGTCATTTCTTCCTTCTCGCCCTTCAGCTTCTCCACCTCCTCCCTCAGCTTCTCCAGCTCCTCGTCCTTCTTTCCGATCGCCTTTTTCATCTCCTCGTACATCTCCTTGCTCACACCGCCAGCTGGCGTAGTTCGCTTCTCCCTTTTTGGTACGGTGTACTCCAACACCAGGCGTCGCCATGTGGCGACGCTCGGCGTTCTGATACCATGAGACGACCAGTTGAAGAGATCGTTCAGTCGGAGATAGTGAAGCCCGAAAGCTTTGTGTTCCCCCAGCGTGGTAACATCCTGGAAACAGAAACCTTGAGGGCTCACCCTCAGTTGCAGCCGGGTGAGGTGTTGGGCTAGCTTGGTCAACCCCTCTCGTCCCTCGATCTTCCCGTGACCATCGAAGAACATCAACCCATCGTAAGTTTCACCGTCGTCGTCATCGCCTTCATCTTCTTCGTCGTCGTCGTCGCTTTGATCGCGATCACGTGCAGTGATGGTGGCGACTTCCTCCCAATGAGTATTCCTGATGGAGGAAGGATTAACAGAAAGGTTGATCCACTCGTAGACTTGGAGAGTGGTCCTGTCCGAGGAAGCAACGAAGTGCTTGTCGGACTTAAAATCAAAGAGAACCATTATTTGTTTTCTGGTCGAGATGATTGTTGGATAGATTGGAATGGGATTGTAGAGTTTGTATGGTGGCCACCATGTTATATATAGCAATAGCAGAATAAATAAATAATACAATGTAATCTATTATTATTATTATTATTATTATTATTATTATTATTATTATTATTATCTCTTGGTAGACTTGGCCGGATATAATACCTTGCATTATACAATTTCTCTAAATTTGGACTAGTAAGCGCTTGCAATAGGGTGCCATGTATGTTGGTAGGAACAAGTAAAAGTTGTTGGTGATCAACCCACTTGTTCTGTTATTATCTATAATCTATAATCTATAATAGCTGAGATTAGAGCAGCTTTTTAACATTTTAAAAATTTTCTAACGAGAACAAAAGTAAAAACAAGTATATTTGTCTTCACAGTTGTTTATTTACTGTTCATAATAAAGATACATCAATCCTGAAACTTGAACCATGATCTTTAAACAAGAATATGAAACATTACCGATTACACTAAAAGCGAACTGTTATAAACGCGCTGATACGGATTGGGAAATTGCCGGAATCGATAAAGCAAGAATACGAAAGCGAGAATAAAAAAACATAGACACACGATTTACGTGGTTCACTAACACGATGTGTGTTAGCTACGTCCACGGGCTAGAGAGAGTCAATTTCACTATATCGAGGAGATTAGATTACGGAGGAGTATGAGAAGTATTTATAGTATTTCTCCATGTGGGTCTAAACCTTATCCAATCTGGCAAAGGAAACGATTATAGACCAGGCCCAGAAGCCGAACCCAAATAACATTGAGCCCATACACCGCGCCCCGACCCCCACTCGCTGACTGGACAGCGAGACCCCCGACTACCAGTCGTAGCGGCTTATAGTCCGATTCAAGTCACATCAACAAGAACCAAAGATAAAAAAATGTATGTTTTTTTCCTTAAAACCTAAATTGTGCATAATTTAAATAGCCTTAAAAAAGAATAGTATAATGTATTCTTTTTATTATTAAAGACTTCGCCGAATAAATAATCTGTGGTCATTTTTAAACAATTCATAGTTGAAACTTAAGCTCATGACCCAAGAAAGAAAAGAACACACAACAAAACAAATTAGATTATCAAATAGTCTTTTTTCCCCATAGGTAGACTTGGAACCATGTAGTCTTTTTAAAACAATTCATGATTAACTACTTCGCCGTAGCCGATGACCTAAAAAGTAAAAACACAAGAAAATAGATTATAAGTCAACTTATTTGCGGTTGGTGAGAGAATATAATGCTTTTAATTCAATTATATGATTTAATATTAGAAAGCAATGACGGACGTTCATATTCAAGCATAGGAAAGGACTTGATGTAAAAGTTAAAAAAAAAACTCATTGGTCGAGATGATTCTCGGAGAAATTGGGATGGGATTGCAGAGTTTGTATGGTGGCCTTATATATAGCAACTAGTTTTATTGTCTGCGCTCCGCGTCGGGACGGGTACGAAAATTTAAATTTATGTTGTATCAACTTTCATGAGCACATAGTAGAGTTATCGGATGTCCTCGAAGGGTCACCATAGTCCGTAGAGGAGAATTATAGAAGTACCATAACAACACAATTATGAAAGATGCGAACCATTAACCATAAATATGTTATCTTACAGGCCAGTGGCCAAACAAATACACGTAATTACTATGTTAAGGAAATTTTACACAACAAAATAAAAATATCACCAAGTACCTACTTTCTTTCGCTACAAATAAGAACACTTTAACCCACTTTATTGAGCGATCCAATTTTCTTGTGTTAGCAAATGACAAAACACCTATGATGAAAAATTGAAGATACATGATATCACTTAAAATATAGATATACTGCAAGATGCATCAGAGTTGAAGATCTCTGGCTTTCGATCTTACTCACAACCGAGAGTTAGAGATAGCTGCATCTCAGTTGAGCTCCTTCAATTCGCTTCCCCTTTGGCGACAAAAAACAAAAAAAAAGCATAGGAAAGGACTTGATGTAAAAGTTATAATAAAAAAACTGAAAGTTAAAAATATTTTCTTTAAAAATATTGTTCCGCCTAATTAAAAAAGAATGACTTGCCAAATAATACAATGTAGCCTTTTATTAATATATTTTTGGGTAGACTTGGACGTATAAATAGTTTACAATGTAGTCATTTCTAAACAATTCATGTTTGAACATTTAATAAACCCGACGACACAAGAAGGCAAGAACGTAACCCAACAAAAACAAATTTGATTGTCTGAGTAGTCTTTTATTTATCTCTTTTCTTTCGTAGACTCGGCCAAGTAAATAGTGTCATGTACATGTAGTAGTCTTTTAAAACACAACCTAATTTGAGGACGACGCGCGTGGAAATCAATCGACGTGAAACAGAGGTGTGGTTCCACAGCTGATAGACAAAATCCAAATTATTGTTACAAGCAAAAAAAGACAAGTAAATTAAGAAGCGGAAAACAAATTGGAAACGAACGATCAGCCTGCGCGTTAAGTTACTACTCGCGGTACATGAAAGCAAGCTTGTATTCTTCGCCCACCATAGCCAGGGTGCAAGCTGTATCTGCCGAAAATCTACCATCGTCCCATGCATACGGCATTCGGATTCGGTAGTAGCTGTTCCCGGGGAAATTAGAAGAAACGAAATTGCCGTCATAATAAGCCATCATCGTCAAGCCGCCATCCGGGTGGGTTGTCCTCGTAAACCACCAATTGTCTTTGTCGAATGGGCCTATGGAACTATACACCCGAATCTTGAGTGGAGGCGGCCAATCTTTGGGATCTTCATCCACCAAAGAGATTCCATATGCTATCGAGAATGGCCAAGTGCTGTTGTTCCAACGTGGCTCATACTGGAACATGCCCGGTCCAGTTCGAAAGTTGAGTTCGCTGGACAAACTCCAAGTATCCGGTGGCACCGCCCGTCTTGCGCTTGTTATTATTTGGTCATTCTGCTTGGTAAGGGGCACCAACTTAGTTGCACCTGTCTGTATCCATGATTGCTTGCGACGTTGCTCCAGCTCCCGAGGGAGTTGTGACAGTTGGTCCCTTAGCTTTTTCGTTTCGGCTGCATTCGCTTTCATCATTTCCTCCTTCTCAATCCTTAGCTGTTGGGATTCTGCATCCTTCTCGTTCATAATCTTTCGCAACGCTTCATCCTTCTTCGCTACCTCTTCCCTCATCTCCGCCTCGTCCTTCTTCAACCTGTGCCATTCATCACTGTCCACCGTCGTCATCTTCCCAGCTTTCTGATCACCTGCTCCTCCTGATGCTGCTGCTGCTCCGTCTTCCTGCTTCTTGCTGCTGCCTCTTTTCAGATTCTTCACTTCGTCCCTCAACTTTTTCAACTCCTCGTCCTTTTCTCTTCTCAACGTCTCTAGCTCGTCAATTTTGTCCTCCACTTCCTCGTCCTTCTCCCTCTTGAGCGTTTCCAGCTCGCCGTCTTTTTTCTTCGGCATCTTTCGCAGCTCCTTGTCGTTTTTCTTTTCCAAGTCTCGCAGCTCCAGCTCGTGTTTTTCGCTCTCCTCTTTCAGCTTCTCTATCTCCGAATCTCGTTCCTCCATCTCCTCCCTCAGCTGCCGCATCTCCTTGCCGGTTCGCTTTTTCAACTCGCTAAGCTCTGTCGCGTGCTTACCCCTCTCCCTTTTTAGCCTTTCCATCTCCCAATCTTGTTCTTCCATCTCCTCCCTCAGCTTTCCCAACTCTTCATCCTTCGTTTCGATCATCTTTTTCAGCTCCTCGTACCTCTCCTTGCTCACACCTCCGGCGACCATTGGCGGCTTCCCCCCTTTTGGTATTGTGTACTCCAACACCAGGCGTCGCCACATGGCGGTGCTCGCCATTTTGATACCATGATACGGCCAGTTGAAAAGATCGTTTAGTCGGAGATAGTGAAACCCGAAATCTCTGTGTTCGCCCAACCCGGCAACATCCTGAAAACATAACCCTTGAGGGCTCACCCTCAACTGCAGCCGGGTGAGGTGTTGGGCTAGCTTGGTCAACGCCTCCCGCCCCTCGATCTTCCCGTGACCATCGAAGAACATCAGACCGCTGAAGGATTCCTCCTCCGCTGACGCACCACCGTTGTCACCTTCATCCTCGTCGTAGTCTTCGCTTACATTGTGATCACGGGCAATGATGGTGGCGACTTCCTTCCAATGATTCTTCCGGATGGAGGAAGGATTGACAGTAGGGTTGGTCAATTCATATACTCTAAGGGTGGTTCTGTCCGAGGAAGCAACGAAGTGCTTGTCGGACTTGAAGTCGAAGAGAACCATTAGTATGGTAATTGTTTTCTGGTCGAGGTGAGTATCGGGGAGAAATTGGGATGGAAGTGCAGAATTTGTATGGTATATATAAACAATAATGTCTTCATATATGTGTGGCTACCGCTAGTTGCCTAATATTAAAATTTACTTGTATATAATAGTGCATGTATTAATTAATTGGCTCAACATGTCCCAGCTTCGTAAGTGTTCCTACGAATATGGCAATTTCGATGTATTTATGGAGAAACATTCGAATCAAATATAACACCATGATATAATTTATGTACCATTATACTATATTTCTTACAACCGTACCACTATAATTAATGTATTTTCTGGCCGTATAATTTTGTACCACTATACTGTATGACATATCAGCTAGCTCGTTCTTTTCTATTGGAAAATATATAAAAAGGAATGACATTTTTGTAGTCATAAAGTTATTAAAAAGTAACACGGTGGTCAGTAGGAGACAAGTGTAACGGTACAACTCCAAAAGCAGGCTTTAATTCTCAAGAGATTAGTCTAAGTTATAATGTGAGGGTGAAAACATCCGACACATCTTGAATTCGAAAATTATAGCAAACGGTCATTTAAAAGCGTTCTTTCGGAAGATAGGTAGTTGTGTGATACAAAATAATTCCACTAGTAATCAACACATACTTAGGGATGACAATGTGACAGGCTTGACTCTTTCTTTTTTTTCCCCCTCAAATCCAACCCAATTATTGCACCCGTAAAAAAACCCGATAACATACTCCCTGAATTTTGAATAAAGAGAAAATTCAACTAAACCCAATAAACATTTGGGAGTGCATGAATAGGCATGAGTCAGAATTCAATGGGCATTTCCAACACAAATAAATTTTCCAACAAGTTTATAATTCAAGTGATTGAAATATTAAATCTAGCATGAAGAGGTTTCGGGTAATGATGGCAGTGGGACAGGCGGAGCGGGTACATCAATACCAATATTGGCTCCAGACTAAGTGTGGGACAAGTAGGATTATACAAGTCAAGTAAGAAATTGTTGTCACTAGATTCAGGACATCAAGGTTTCATATAATTTCAACTAATTAAAAGAGAATGACTTTGCCGAATAAATAATACAGTGTAGTAGTCTTTCTTTATTTTCATAAAACAATAGAATGTCGTTTTTTATTAATATTTTTGTTGGGTAGACTTGGCCGAATAAATAATTCCAATGTAGTCATTTTTAAACATTTCATGTTTGAGCATTTAATAAACCGACGACCCCAAGAAGGCAATAACATCACACCAAAAAAAAAATGCCGAATAGCCTTGATTTATGTAATTTTCGGTAGACTTGACCGAGTAAATAGTACCAACGTGGTCTTTTTTTAAACAATTCATGATTAAATTCTTGAAGGGATCATTAGATCAGAAGTATAAAAATATATAAAATACTTTGACGTGCTTAATTGTGTCACTTGGTTGGACAAATGGTATTAAAAAATTCAATCTCAACTCTAATGTCATTACCAACTATGATAATGATGGCAAAGGCTAGTGTACGTTAAGCGTACATACGCATGTGTTCACACTTGATTTTTGCACTTCAATATATTTCACTGAATAAGAACCGTCGGTAATTATTTTTTAGATTAAATGAATATTGTGACTTGGGTTAAAGAATTAAGGACTAGGTTCACCCATTAGAGGTTAGGGTATAGTATCATGCCCCAAACTCTGGGTAATTCGTGTTCTAGATAGTAATTGTTACAGCTGACATACGCTAACCTGAACCTAACAATGATACATTATGACTTTTAGAAAACAATGAAACAGATGTGTGTCATTACAATAGAAGTATTGAATCAATTCTAATTCTAGGAAAATGAGTTTATCTTACCCCAATTCCCACCCCCCCCCCCCCCCCTCTTGTTGTAGGTTTTTTTCTCTCATTTTGAAAATTTTGCACAGAAGAAACGAGCTCATCATAAACTATTGGATTTATAAATTTATGGAGAAAAAAATACAGGACCAAAATATACCACCTCATACCACCCTGGTATGTGGTATCTTGTGATACACAATGTTGAAAGCTGTAAACGACAGTGAATATATTCATACTATCATGTATTCAACCATTCGACAGCCTGATATGTTATACACCACCATGTTACACTTCCATACGACTTGGTATGCTCTTATGTAATATCACTATTATGTAATATCAACAATACCATGATGGTATAGACTAGTACCAGATGTCTCAAAAAAAAAATTCAAAATTATATCAAAGTGGATATCATTTTGAAGAGCACAATTAATCTGATTTATCTGTGCCAAAAAAAATTCCGACTTAAAACGAAAGAAATATAATTCTGTAAAATTTAAAGAATAAAATATTAAAGTCTTCCATAAATAGTGATGTGGCGCTGATGTGACAGACATGTCATACATGGTTGTGCACCATAAGGTTATGCACCACAACTGCTCCTGTTAATAAAAGGATATACTAGGACACAAAACTAACAGAGAAATTAGGCAGCTCTGAAAGCTACTGCATGCTCCACCGGACGGAGTGCCCGGAAAAGCAGCATTTTTCCAGAGGTGATCACATCTGATGACAACCAAGTTGTCAAGCACCAAACCAAATAAAACGATCATAGACTTTAAGGGTGGCTCTGTCCGAGGAAGCAACGAAGTGCTTGTCAGACTTGAAATCAAAGAGAACCATGACTGTATGCTGATTGTTTGCTGGTCGAGATGATTGTCGGATAGATTGGGGTGTAATGCTAATTTGCTGGCTAAGAGGTGTATGTTTTTATTGAAACGTAGAATTAATAAAGAAATCACAATTCACAGCCGATAGACAAAATCCAAATTAACAATTGTTACCCCGCAAAACGAAATAAAGAAGCGGAAACAAATTGGAAACGATCCAGCCCGCCGTTTGTAACTACTCGCGGTACATGAAAGCAAGCTTGAATTCGCCGCTCACCAAAGCCAGGGTGCAAGCTGTATCTGCCCAAAAATAATTTTTGTCCCATGAATAGGGGAGCCGGATAGAGCAGGACATCCCTGGAATATTCGAAATATGGAAACTGCCGTCGTAATAAGCCATCATCGTCAAGCCGCCATCCGGGTGGGTTGTCTTTACAAACCACCAGTTGTCTTTGTCGAATGCGGCTCCGGAATCGTACACCCGAATCTTGTGGGGAGGCGGCCAATCTTCCGGATCTTCATCCACCAAAGACAGCCCATTTGCTGACGAGAATGGCCAGTAGAAATTGTTCACAAGTGAGTGGTGCTGGAAACTACCCGATATGATTTCGCGGGACAAACTCCAAGTATCCTGTGGCACAGCCCGTCTTGTGCTTATTATTCGGTCATTGTGACTATGTAGGGGCACCAACTTAGTTGCAGCTGTCTGTAACCACGATTGCTTCCGAGGGAGTTGTAACAGTAGTTGGTTTCTTAGCTTCTCTGTTTCAGCTGCACTCGCTTTCATCATTTCTTCCTTCTCGATCCTGAGCCGTTGGGATTCCGCATCCTTCTCGTTCATAACCCTTCGCAACGCTTCATCCTTGTTCGCTATCTCTTCCCTCGTCTCCGCCTCGTCCTTCTTCAACTTGTGCCATTCATCGCTGTCCACCATTATCTTCCCTTCTGATGCTGCACCACCATTTTCGTTGTTCTTGGCTCTTTTCAGATTCCTCACTTCCTCCCTCAATTTTTTCAGCTCCTCGTTCTTTTCTTTCCTCAACGTCTCTAACTCGTCGTTTTTATCCTCCAGCTCCTCGTCCTTCTCCCTCTTGAGCGTTTCTAGCTCGCCGTCTTTTTTCCTCGACAGCTTCAGCAACTCCTTGCCGTTTTTCTTCTCCAAGTCGCGTAGCTCCTGTTCGTGTTTCCCCCTCTCTTCTTTTAGCTTTTCCAACTCCCAATCTTGTTCTTCCATCTCCTCCCTCAGCTTCAGTATCTTTTCATCCCTTTCTTCGACCATTTTTTTCAACTCCTCGTACTTCTTCTTGCTCACGCCTCCTCCGGCCGTCGTCGACCGCTTCTTCTCCCCTTTCGGTACGGAGTACTCCAACACCAGGCGCCGCCACGTGGCGATTCCTGGCATTCTGATACCGTGATACGGCCAGTTGAAAAGATCATTCAGTCGGAGGTAGTGAAACCCAAACTCTTTGTGCTCGCCTAACCCGGTGACATCCTGGAAACAAAACCCTTGAGGACTGACCCTCAATTGCAGCCGGGTGAGGTGTTGGGCTAGCTTGGTCAACGCCTCCCGTCCCTCGATCCTCCCGTGACCATCGAAGAACATCAGCCCGTCGTAAGATTCCTCCTCCTCCTCTGCTGATGGATCGTCACCATTGTCTTGTTCCTCGTCATTGCTTTGATCTTGATCACGGGCGGTGATGGTGGCGACTTCCTTCCAGTGATTCTTTCCGATGGAGGAAGGATTAACAGCAGTAGGGTTGGTCAACTCGTAGACTTTGAGGGTCGTCTTGTCCGAGGAAGCAACGAAGTGCTTGTCGGATTTGAAATCAAAGAGAACCATGGTATCCTAATTGTTTTTTTGGTCGAGATGATGAGTATCAGAGGGATTGGGATGTAATGCTAATTTGCTAACTAGGAAGGGGAGTTGGGATGGAATTTTGGTAGACTTTTATTACAATTGTTTTTCTTTAGTAGACTACTTGGGATCATGTTGTCTTTTTTTAAGCAATTCATCATCGATTAAAATACTTCTCCATTCTTCAGAAATAAACCGACGACCAAAAACATATTAGAAGTCAGTTTAACTAGATGTAGTGGATAGGAGAGGAGCCCATCTATATTATGCTTCAAAATATTGTTGTTTTTCTATATACATTGAATTTGTACGAAAATGAATAGGTACAAACCGAGTTGAATCGAGCACTCCGAAGAGAACCTAAATGGGTATGGAACTCAGCTGGATCGTCCGTCACCGTATACCTGTTCGAAATCCTTAACTTCTGCTGACTGTATTTTGTGAGGAAGATTGAGAATCAAAATTGTACAGAGTACGAGGGGAGGGCAAATTCTCGGCTGGAAAAATGAAACTATCATCTCTTTGGAATATTTTGATTAACCTGAAGCTGGAATCATTGACCTAAAAATGGCTAAATTGTAAGTTTGGTCACTTGAATTACTAGTAAAGTTCACGTTAGCCACTAGAATTACTTTATTCCACCCATAGTCACTTAAATTAGGTTAACGGTTCAAGTTTGGTCACTGACTGTTAGTCTCCGTTAACTTTTGCTCAAGTGACCAAGGTTCGAACTCCAATGATAACATTTTTAATATATAAACATGAGCTGAGTGCAATCACAAAAATGACATTCTTGGAATCACTCTCAGACCACGAAATTTGAAATGAGAGAATTTCAACCCATGTTTTGCCTTTATCTATTGTGTAGATGTAGATTCCATTAAAATCTATATTAATTGCTGCGGAATTATTAGGTTTCCTAAACAAATTTAACATTCTTTATGGGTTCATAAAATGAAAGATCAGGATTTTATTTTAGGTCACTTTAATATTTTTTTTTAATTCTAAAAATTGAAACATTTTGAAAGCTATATGAGTGTGTTCTTTAAAAAAAACCATACCATTAACATAATCAACCAAAACCAACAGCGAGCGAAAACCAGTACCAAAAAAAATTCAATAAAAAAACCAATAGCAATTTGATTTTAATTAAACTTCGTTTTTCCAAAGCAAGTGGTGAGTACAAAGTTGACTTGTTGAAGGGATCAGTATATAAAGTACAAAACAAAATAGTTTGACATGCTTAATTGTGCCACTTGGTTGGACAAATAGTTTTTTTTCTAAAACGAAGGAATCGGTGGATATTTTTACCCATTAAAAGTCAACTTAAACTCTAGTGGCATTACAGCTACAGCTTTTATGTATCTATATTTAATTATTTATTATTGTTCTCATATACATTATGACTTATTATTAAAAAACAATGACCAGATGCGAGTCCATACAAATGAAGTATGTAAGAAACCTCAAAATTAAAAGAGTTTGGACAGAACATTCTCTCATTTCTATCGAGAGGTTAGAAGAGTTGAGAGAGAATTAGAGTGGCAGCTAAGGTTTCTTCACAAAATAACCCTAGAAGAAGAAGTTCACAAAATAACCCTAAAAGCAAATCTAAGAAAGCAAATGAAGAAGAAGAAAGATCACGCTTTTGACTGCATTGTGCCTCTGAATACTCATCTACCAAATCAAGAACAGAAACTTTTGGGGTTTATTTTAATGGCGATTAGTTTGGTTCTTGGGATTGGTTGAAGCTTACTCTTTCTCGGGGGCAGTGGCGGATCCAAGGGTGGCCTCCCATGACTACGGCCCAGCCCTCTTCTGCATTCAGAGCCAGTATAGTTCTTATAAGTTTGTCGATTTTAGCTATTCGGTCCAATATTATTTTATAATAAAATTGTGTGTAATTGAGAAAATAGGTTAGATGAACATGTTCAAATCACAACTCCAAATTTAGCCTAGAAATACTAGCTCCAATGATTCTCTTCTAAATAAAAACAAACAATGTAACCTAAAATTCTAAAACTCTAAAACGTAAAAGACTAAAGGGCAATGTCTATTTTTTATCCAAACCTATGAAAATGCTATTTAATTATCCAAATCTTTCGTAATGCATCAAAATATTAGCCATTTTTACGTTATTGTTAATAATTTTGTAACTCTTTTCTTAGTTAAAATACTAAAATTTTGGAATGTTGACATTCATGTGTCTCTTCCAAGTCAGTATCATGTTGCCAAGTCATCATTACTAACAAAATTGCTAATTGGAAGTTAACATTTGACTAATTCTTAGTATTTCGATAGATTTGGATAATATAAAAGAATCTGAAAAAGGTTTGGATAAAAAATAGACATTACCCAATAGTAAATACTCCGTTTAATACACGTATATGTACCCGTACGTACTTTATCCGTTTAAAACTTCCGTATCCGTATTATTGTCAAGCCGTTTCATTTTTGTCCGTTCATTTGATGGCTCCCGTATTAAACATGTATAAAACCCGTATAACACGTTTAATATCCGTATTTAATGAATTAAATTGCTAACTTTACTATTATTTATATATTTATTTATTTTTAAAATGATTAATTTTTCTATATTTATGACAATTAACGTACTATTAAACGTAACATTAGCATACAGACGAAGTAAAATACCCGTACGTATTTTATACGTAACATTCCCGTACCGTATTTTACTAACTATGCCCAAGACTAAAAGAATTATGAGGTTTGTTCTCTTGAAACATTACTAAAGCATCTCATGGAAAGAGGGATGAACACACAATACAAATTGATTAGTCGATTGATTTGTCTAGTGATGACATTGCCCGTGTCAACAACTACTACGGAAAAAACCTTTTCAGCAATGGAACAGGTGAAATATGATTTGTGCAACAAAATGAGCGATGAATTTCTCGATGCAGATTGGTTAACTTTTTTTATTCGAAGGAGAATAGTATGCTATTGGTATGTCGTATGGGTGTAGACTCCACTACTGATGAATTTGTTGTATTAAAAGATCAACATGTACAATTGATATTGGAAAAAAAACAATTTTTTTTTGCAATATCTAATTTCTAATAAAATGCGACTCAGTGCTTTACTATGTTCTGAATCCGTCGCTGCTCGGGTGGGTGTTCTTGGCTTCTTGCACTCGACTGAAATCTGAAATGAACCTCATCATCTCTCTCGCCCCATATATATATGGGTTGTTTGTTGTTGAACGTGATTCCCTTTTAAATAATCTTACAAAGGGTGACAATAATTAAGAAAGAAGAAATAAATAAACAAAAATACAGCAAATTTAAGCAGAATTAATAGAATAATTTTGCTCTCTCGGCAACGGCAACTGCCTCCTAGATAGTTGAGGAACTTTGACACTGCCATACTGTTTCGAATCTCTCGCTCCTTCCGTTCGCCCTTCCCCGACGACCCATCACGCCCCATCGCCAAAGTCGTCGTCTCCGTCTCTCAACTCCAACGACGACGAATCTTCTACCCAGATATTGCCGCCACCGGGTTACGGTTTACCAAGCACCGAATAAGAGAGAATAGGGCCGATGATGGCGGCGACTCCTCTCTCTCCTCTCCCGTCCTTTGCTCTGGCGACCAACAAAGGGAGATCAGACGCCGACCATGAACGAGGACAGCGATGACGACGACGGTGCTAGGAGGACGGTTTCATGACGATGGGAGACGACAAAGTCGCCGTTGGCATTGGCGGTTACGATTCCGGGACAGCGGCGGTTACGCCGGATAAGTGCTCTCTCATTTTTATTTTTACTATTATTTATTTAATTTCTTTTATAATTTTCCTTCTTAATTAATTTTTTTATTATTCTTTCCAAAGCTTATCCGTTTTATTTTCTTTAACTATGAAATCTTTTTTAAAAATTGTATTCTAGAAAAGAAAATATTAGTCCCATCTTTGTAAGTGAGTTGCAGAGTTCGTTTTCGTGCATATTGACTTATAATGGTTGACATCGTGCTTTGTCGGTGATGGCCCTCTTCGTTGTGGAGCCTATCAATGTTACTCCACGGTGGAGTCTTCCTTTCTCATTCATTTCGTACTGTTTTGCTGATGAGAATGTCCAACCGGCAGCCCCAAGATCCTTTTGGATTGCCTATTTGTTTTCTTGTTTTGCAGGTCACTTCTAACTACTTATGGAGCTCTATGGCTTTCTATGGAAAGGGTGTGGCTTCGGTTGGCATTCCCGGTACACTGCTCATCCGGGCTTTTGCACGGAGTCGCTTGGAGAATCTTGACGAGGAAGCGTTTTGCTTTGAGGTTATAGGAGCAATGATTTTGGGATAGTTGTTTTCAATATATAGATATTCGGCCGTTTGTGGCTATGTGTTTGTTCATTTTGCAGGTACAGCTGCTCATAGGGCTGCCCATTTTGTGGCATATCAGGCCCTTTCATCGGTAGTTCGACTATTTGTCGACTGCTGCACGGTGTTATTTTCTGTTCTTTGACTATATTTTGGTCAGAGATTTACCTGACTACTGTCTATGTTAAAAAAAAAAAAAAAAAGCAGAATTAATAGAGAAACTTAGACGCCTCCGAAAGCTTGGCCGGCAAGCAGCATCGGCGCCGGAGGTGAATATCGCCAACTACTGATGACAAAAAAACCAAACTGCCACCCCGCCGTCGCCCTAGCTAGTCGCGGTACATGAAAGCAAGCTTGTATTCGCGGCCCACGTGAACCAGGAAGAAACTTGTACCTGCCATTAAATGATTGTCCCACGAATAGGGAAGTCGGATAGGGTAAGTATTCTCCGGGAAGACAGAACATCGAAAATCGCCGTCGTAATAAGCCATCATCGTCAAGCTGCTGCCCTCACTCAGGTGATTCGTCTTCATAAGCCACCAGTTGTCTTGGTCGAATGAGCCAGAAGAACTACTGTACACATTCATCTTGGGAGGAGGCGGCCAATCTTTGGGATCTTCATCCACTGCACTGATCGAACTGTTAAACGAGAACGGCACGCTCCCCTTCTGATATGGCTTGTAGTTGAAGTTACTCGATTTGCCTTCATCGATGCGAAAAGTATCACGTGGCACCGGTCGTCTTCTCCTTATTATGTCGTCACCGCAATAAGAAAGGAGCACTAATTTAGTTGTAGTTGTCTTTACCCATGATTGCTTGGGTCGACGTTGCTCCGGCTCGCGAGGAACTTGTAACAGTTGGTCTTTCAGCTTTCGCATTTCAGCTGCATTCTCTTTCATCATTTCTTCCTTCTCGCTCCTTAGCTTCTGAGACTCGGCGGTCTTCTCATTCACGAGCTTCTGCAATGCTTCGTTGTCATCCCCCACTTTTTCTAGCCTTCTTTTCGTCTCTTCGTCCTTCTTCGTTACCTCTTGTCTCGTCTCCGCCGCGTCCTTCTTCAACTTGTGCCATTCATCACTGTCCACCGTTATCTTTCCTTTCTCGCCTACTGTCGCTGCTTCGTCTTCCTTCTTAGCTCTTTTCATATTCTTCACTTCTTCTTTCAAATTTTTCAACTTTTCGTCCTTCTCTTTGCTCAGCTTTGTTGCGTCGTCCTTTTCTTTTCTCAACGCCTCTAACTCCTCGTCTTTCTCCTCCGACTCCCCGTCCTTCTCCCTCTTCAACGTTTCTAATTCGCCATCTTTTTGCTTCGACAGCTTCCGCAGCTCCTTGCCATTTTTCTTCTCCAACTCGCGTAGCTCTACCCCGTGTTTCCCCCTCTCTTCTTTTAGCTTTTCCATCTCCCAATCTTGTTCTTCCATCTCCTCCCTCATCTTTCCGATCTTTTCATCCCTTTCTTCGATCATTCTTTTCAACTCCTCGTACTTCTTCTTGCTCACAACAGCTCCTACTGCCATCGGCCGCTTCTTCTGGTCCCCTTTCGGTACGGAGTACTCCAACACCAGGCGTCGCCACGTGGTGATGCCCGCCATTTTGATACCGTGATACGGCCAGTTGAAAAGATCATTCAATCGGAGGTAGTGAAACCCAAACTCTTTGTGCTCGCCTAGCCCGGTAACATCCTGGGAGCACATCCCTTGAGGGCTCACCCTCAATTGGAGCCTGGTGAGGTGTTGGGCTAGCTTGGTCAACGCCTCCGATCCCTCGATCTTCCCATGACCATCGAAGAACATCAGCCCGTCGTAAGATTCCTCCTCGTCCTCCTCTGCTGATGCATCGTCGCCATCATCTTGTTCCTCGTCATTGCTTTGATCTTGATCACGGGCTGTGATGGTGGCGACTTCCTTCCAGTGATTCTTTCCGATGGAGGAAGGGTTAACAGTAGTAGGGTTGGTCAACTCGTAGACTTTGAGGGTTGTCTTGTCCGAGGAAGCAACGTAGTGCTTGTCGGACTTGAAATCAAAGAGAACCATGACTGTATGCTATTTGCTTTCTGGTCGAGATGATGAGTATCAGAGAGATTGGGATGGAATTGCAGAATTTGAATGGTGGCGATCATGTTATATGTTATAATAATGCCTTGAATCTTGATGTGTGGGTGGATACCGCTAACTAATTGCCTTAATTAAAATTTAAATAGCATATAATAGTGCATCTATTTCATTAATTGGAAATTGACATTTCTTAGAAAGGATGAGTTAGGGCTTAAGGATTGACTCTTAGAGTCTTATATAAACATATGTCTTAGCTTCTTCATCAATATTTTCTTTTAAAAAATAACCTATCGCCTAATTAAAAGAAAAAAGAATGACTTTGTCCAATAAATTATAAAATGTAGTCTTCTATTATCATCATCATCATCATCTTAGTAGACTTTTTCATTACAATTTTTTTTATTTGGTAGACTTGGCACCATGTAGTCTTGTTTTAATCAATTCATGATAGATTAAAATACTTCACCTGTTCTTAAAGAAATTCAATAAGTCGACGACCGAAGAACACACCACACAAACACATATTAGAAGTCAGTTTAGTTGTGTTGGGTAGGAGAGGAGAGGAGAGGAGCTTATCTATTATGCATTAAAGTATTGATGTTTTCGATATTTATTAAATTTGTATGAAAACGAATAGGTACAAATTGAGCTGAATCAAGCATTCCGAAGAGAACTAAAATGGGTATGTAACTAGAGGTGGCAATTAGGATCCAAATCCATGAATCCAATCCAATCCATCCACCAAATTATCCACTTAATCCAATCCATTTAAATCCATTCCATTTGATCAAAATCCAATTGGATTGGTGAATTCATGGATCAATCCATGGATCCAAATGACAAATTACGATTTGATCCTATATATTTTACATTTTTGTACCTAAAATTTATATTTTTATACGAAAAAAATCATTGGAAATTTACATTTTGGTACCTAAAATTTTTCATTATGACATTTTAGTACCTAAACTTTTCAAAATTTACATTCTGGTCCAAGCCTTGGATGTCATTTGGATTCATGGATCAATCCATCAATCCATTTGATACAATTCATGAATCCACCAATCTATTGGATCCAATCCATTTGATCCATAGATCCACCAATCCAATCCACGAATCCGATCCAATTGCCACCTCTATATGGAACTCATCCGGCGCCGAATACCTGTTACAAATCATTGACTTATGCTGACTGTATTTGGCGATGAGAAAGGTTGAAACCCTAACCGATGATAAGTGCAGAAATCAGAAAACGAAAGAAAGGCATAGTTGGGGAATTTGCCAGGATGGCTTCATTCCATTTTCTGAAGAGTGTATATACATCATCTTCTAACTATTTACCACTACACTACAAAACAGAAAGGTAAAGTAGAGTTATTGCAGGATAACGGTAACTAGACTAACCACTAACATCTCGCCACTTGGCGTTACATTATTTACTAACAGCACTACCACGCAATGCCGTTCAGTCTTGTAGAGTTGACTACTTAGAAAACACGGCGTCGTTTGATCTAGCAGCTCTTTCTTCTTCGACCAAGGTGAAAGGAAGCCCAGGTCGTCTTGTCCGTGAAGCTCGTCGTCAATGGCTGCTCTCTACATCTTTCCTTCACAGGCCCCCTCAAGCTGGGAGATACATGTCATGAACTCCCAGCTTGGAAAGAAGGAAATCGAACCGTTCAGAAGAAAGTCCCTTGGTGAAGAAATCGGCAACTTGTTCTTCTGATTGAATGTGATGCAGAGATAGTAACCCAGATCGCAGTCTTTCACGAGTTACATGGCAATCAACCTCAATGTGCTTCATTCGCTCGTGAAAGACTGGATTTTCTGCAATATGAAGTGCGGATTGATTATCGCAAAAGACTTGAACTGGCTCTGGATTATCAACTCCATAAAATCCTAGAAGGGATTTTAGCCATTGAATTTCACAGGAAAGTTGAGCTAAAGCTCGATACTCTGCTTCTGAGGAAGAACGGGAAACTGTGGATTGCTTCTTACTCTTCCAGGTTAATAGAGAATTGCCGAGGAAGGTGCAGTAACATGTTACAGAACGCCTTGTATCAGGGCAAGTCGCCCAATCGGAGTCACAGTAACCCTTGAGTTGAGTAGAGTTAGAAGAAGAAAACCACAGTCCTTGAGATGGATGAGACTTCGGGTATCTTAAAATCCTGTGCAATGCTTGAAGATGAACTGTGGTTGGGGCCCCTTGAAATTGGCAGAGTTGCTGGACAGGGAAGCATATGTCTGGTCTGGTGGTTGTGAGGTACTGAAGTTGGCCCAGAAGATGACGAAAAACAGAGCCATCTGGGAGAGGAACACCATCAGATGCAGACAAGGATGTTTTCATACTCATGGGAGTCTTAGCACGCTTGGATTCGAGGAAGTCTGCCTCAGAAAGAAGTTCCAGACAGAATTTCCTTTGGCAAAGAGAGATCCCTGCAGCAGACCTGGCAATTTCAACACCAAGAAAGTACTTGAGAGTGCCCAGATCTTTGATTTTGAAAGAATGATGTAAATGCCGTTTTGTCTGCTTGATCAAGTCTGCATCATTCCCAGCAATGATGAGATCATGAACATAGATGATCACAAACACACAAGAGTCCTGTTTCTGTAAGTTGAACACAGAATAATCATCAAAAGATTGTATGAACCCAAAATCCTGAAGGCAATGACTGAGTTTGAGATACCATTGTTTAAGGCCATACAAAAGACTTTCTAAGTCTACAAACTTTGCCTTGCATCCCTTCCTGATTCTTCAAATTAGGAGGCAATTCCATGAACACTTCCTCATCCAAATCACCATGTAAAAACGCGTTGCTAACATCCATTTGTTGTAAATCCCAGCCATTGATGGCAGCAACAGCAATTAATAACTTGACTGAGTTCATCTTAGCCACAGGTGAATAGGTTTCCATGAAATCTACACCATGTGTTTGTGTGTACCCTTTTGCAACTAAACGTGCCCTGCACCTTTCAATTGAGCCATTAGGAAGATACTTGGTTTTATAAACCCACTTGTTGCCCACAACTGGTTTGTTAATTGGTCTGTCCACTACATCCCAAGTTCTGTTGGCATCCAAAGCTGCCATTTCTTCATTCATTGCATCATTCCAACAAGGAATGAGTACTGCCTGCTGATAAGTGTGTGGTTCAGGAAGAACAGTAATAGAGAGAGAAAAGAGTTTATGAGAAGGGGGTAAATGATCATAACTGATGCAGTCACTTAGAGGGTACAGCAGCTTAGAATCATGTGGGGGAGTAGTAGAAGAAAGCAAGCTGACATGATAGTCAGATAAGTATGCAGGTTTCTTGACTACTCTTTGAGGTTTATGAAGAGCAATGGGAGGTGTAGGAGCAGAAGAAGGAGAAGAAGGTGAGGAAGAAGAAGAATCAGGATCAACTGATCCAGAAGAAGGAGAATAGCATGGATCAGTGGTCTCATGTATGTTGTGGTCTGAAGGTAAAATGGGATATGTGTCATAGAAGTAAGAAAGGGGAGGTAGAACATAACTAGAACCAATATCAGCAGCAGGAGTAACAACATTCTTATTAATGAGAAGACCCATCAACGTTCAAAAAAAAAAAAAAAAGATATCATAGTGATAATAACATGATATGATTGTGGTATGATGACATCAACTTTTTTCTCAAAGATAAGACTTTATACTATCTTCGCACTGTCATACCAACATCATATCAGCGTGATAAGAGCATCCACATGGATATTGTATTTACGATTGCAAAATGACATGAAATATGTTTTGCAATTGCAAAATCAACTGTATTGACGTGGTTACCCATTGCATATTTGCAAGCTTGCAATTGAATATGAAAGCCAAAATTACCTTTAAAAAATGAGATTTTTTATTTTCTTTTTCCTTTTAATTTATTTTTAATATTTTTAGGTTTGCATCTATCCTTTTATGAAGGTTTTTTATTTTAAAATATTTTTTCACCTTATTAAAAAAGAATGACTTGCCAAATAATACAATGTAGCCTTTTATTAATATTTTTGGGTAGACTTGGCCGAATAAATAGTACAATGTAGTCATTTCTAAACAATTCATGGCATTGTTGTAGCTTTGGCAGAAGCAGCTTCTGGCTGGAGCTTTTAGATAAGTACTTTTCAAAAAAAGCAGTTGAGTGTTTGACTGTAAAACTATTACAAGTGCTTTTTAATATGAAAGTTTGTGTAAAATGACTATAAAGGACTTATAATATAAAATACGAAAAAAAATTCTAAACAATAAAAAGTAGTCAAAATGGATCTTGTTAGATTTCTTTTATATTAAATAATATGATTTTATAATTTATTTTATTTTTCAAATGATATAAATGAAGGAAAATTATATTATCTGAAATAAAATTAAAATATGATAAGGATAATCTTGTATTTTCAAAACAGCATTTCGCAGAAGCTCCAAATCGGAGCTTCTGCTTTTATGTTATACAAAAGCGTTTTTTGGCTTTTTAAAAGCCGAGCTTTTAGAGGTGTTTGACCCTGCTTCAGCTTTTGAAGCCGAAAAGCACTTCTAAAAGCCGGCCCAAACATAGTGCATGTTTGAACATCTAATAAACCGACGACCCAAGAAGGCAAGAACCCAACAAAACAATTTTGATTGTCGAGTAGTCTTTTATTTATCTGATTTTTTTAGTGGACTTGGCCAAGTAAATACTTTCATGTAGTCTTTTTAAAACAATTCATGATTTTTGAAATAAGCGACGACCTAAGAACACAACAAAAACATATTAGAAGTCAACTTACTTGCAGTTGGTGAGAAACGCTACATACTATGTAACAAAACAAAAATTGTTTATCCTTTGATAATCCTGTGGGAGAGGCTATCATGTATTTGATTAGATTTTAGGGTAAATACAATATATTAGCCATAACTATTAAGCAGTGAGAAATTATAGTCACAACTATCAAAATACAAATTATTAGCCAACCGTTACGTCTTCGTTAACGAAGTTAGTAATCATGACTAAGATTTTACGATGTTGAGTTGGCTCCCACGTGGCAGTCATCATATCATATTTTTTATGATGCTGACATGGCCTTATCCGTTAGCCAAATTATTGTTACAAATTGGAAACAATATCCAGCCCGCCGTTACGTACTACTCGCGGTACATGAAAGCAAGCTTGTATTCGCCGCCCACCATAGCCAGGAAGCAAGCTGTATCTGCCCAAAAATTATGATTGTCCCATGCATAGGGAAGTCGGACAGGGTAGCTATTCTCGGGGAGAATAGAAGAAAAGAAATCGCCGTCATAATAAGCCATCATCGTCAAGCCGCCATCCGGATGGGTTGTCCTCGTAAACCACCAGTTGTCTTTGTCGAATGAGCCTCTGGAATTGTGCACCTGAATCTTGGGGGGAGGTAGCCAATTCTCGGGATCTTCATCCACCAAAGACAGCCCAAATGCTAGCGAGAATGGCCAGGAGCCGTTGTTCCTACGTGGCTCATACTGGAACATTCCGGTTCCCCATGTGAGTTCGGCGGACAAACTCCAAGTATCCTGTGGCACCGGCCGTTTTCTGCTTATGATTTTGTCAGTGCGCTCAGTAAACGACACCAACTTAGTTTCAGCAGCTGTTTGTATCCATGATTGCTTGCGTCGTTGCTCCAGCTCCCGAGGGAGTTGTGACAGTTGGTTTCTTAGCTTTTTTGTTTCCGCTGCATTCGCTTTCATCATTTCTTCCTTCTCAATCCTTAGCTTTTGGTATTCCGCCGCGGCGTCCTTCTTCTCGTTCATAATCCTTCGCAACGCTTCATCCTTCTTCGCTACCTGCTCCCTCATCTCTGTCTCGTCGTTCTTCAACTTGTGCCATTCATCACTGTCCACCGTCATCTTCCCTTTCTCACCTACTCCTGATGCTGCTCCATCTTCCTGCTTCTTGTCTCTTTTCAGATTCTTCACTTCCTCCCTCAACTTTTTCAACTCCTCGTCCTTTTCTCTTCTCAACATCTCTAGCTCGTCAATTTTATCCTCCACTTCCTCGTCCTTCTCCCTCTTGAGCGTTTCTAACTCGCCATCTTTTTTCTTCGACATCTTTCGCAGCTCCTTGTCATTTTTCTTTTCCAAGTCTCGCAGCTCCTGCTCGTGTTTTTCGCTCTCCTCTTTCAGCTTCTCTATCTCCAAATCTCGTTCTTCCATCTCCTCCCTCAGCTGCCGCATCTCTTTGCCGGTTTGCTTTTTCAACTCGCGAAGCTCTGTCTCGTGCTTCCCCCTCTCCTTTTTTAGCCTTTCCATCTCCCAATCTTGTTCTTCCATATCCTCCCTCAGCTTTCCCAACTCTTCATCCTTCGTTTCGATCATCTTTTTCAGCTCCTCGTACCTCTCCTTGCTCACACCACCGGCGACCATTGGCCGCTTCCCCCATTTTGGTACGGTGTACTCCAACACCAGGCGTCGCCACATGGTGATGCTCGCCGTTTTGATACCATGATACGGCCAGTTGAAAAGATCGTTTAATCGGAGATAGTGAAACCCGAAATCTCTGTGTTCGCCGAACCCGGTAACATCCTGGAAACATAACCCTTGAGGGCTCACTCTGAATTGCAGTCGGCTGAGGTGTTGGGCTAGCTTGGTCAATGCCTCCCGCCCCTCGATCTCCCCGTGACCATCGAAGAACATCAACCCGTCGTAAGAAGATTCCTCCTCCCCCGCTGATGCTTTGTGATCATCGTCTTGGTCCTCGTCGCCGTCGCTTTGAATTTGATCACGGGCGGTGATGGTGGCAACTTCCTTCCAATGATTGTTTCGGATGGAGGAAGGATTGGCAGTAGGGTTGGTCAACTCATAGACTTGGAGGGTGGCTCTGTCCGAGGAAGCAACGAATTGCTTGTCGGACTTGAAATCAAAGAGAACCATGAGTATGCTGATTGTTTGCTGGTCGAGATGATTTTCGGATAGATTGGGATGTAATAATGCTAATTTGCTGGCTAAGAGGGGGAGTTAGGGGATACTTTCTGGTTCGATCCAGATGAGCTTGATCGGAGATTGGGATGGCAATCATGTTATATATAATAATTACGTCTTCATTACAATTAATTAGCTAATCGGAAAATGATATTTCGAAGAAAAGATGAATTAGCGCTTCATGATTGACTCGGGATATGTCTCAGCTTCTTCATCCATATTTTCTTTTTAGAAAATATCCTTTCACCTAACAAGAAAAAACAACGAACGATTCAACGAAAAAAGAAACAAAGAATGACTTGCCGAATAACTCAAATAATACAAAGTAGTCTTTTATTAGTATTTTTTTGGTAGACTTGGCCGAATAAATAAGGGAAGGAGTAGGGTGCTACCATTTTTTTTTTTTTTTTTGTTAATATAGTGGTAACACTAGTTATTGCTAATTGGAATATTTTGTTTTGAGTAACTTTTAATTTAGGTAGGTTGACTATTATTAATGACAGGTGAGCGGAGGTGCACCTGGTCATTAATAATAACAAATTTGAGGAGGGGACTAGTGTATGCAATGCAGTTAAAATCGCGCTTTAAAACATAAAAACTTTTCGTTTTCATATAAAAACTTAAGTGTATAATATTGGAGTAAATTGCGGTTTAAACTTAAAAGTTTACCCCTTTACGCTTCTAGTTCACTAAAAAGTTTTACACTTTTACTCTTATAGTTCACTAAATGGGTATTATTTTCATAAAGTTAATTATAAAAAATATATTTTAAAGGTAAATCACCAACAATATTATACATTTGAGATTAAAATATACATATCAAGTACTTGGATGCATTCTTAGTTTCAATAGAGTAATCTAATTCATCAGCTATGTTTTCCCAAATTCATTAGCATAGAGAGGAAGGTGGCCTATTGTTAAGATCTATATTATGAACTTATTGTTAAGATGTTATGAGTTGCTCTACTTTAGACATGAGTTGCAGATATTTATGAACTTTTCCAAAATCTGTGCACTCATATTTTACATGGTACATGTCGTACTTAACATATTTTAGCTATTTTACAGTGTGCGTAAAAAACTTACGCTTTTATGCTTTGGTTCTACGCTTTACGATCTGTGTTAAAAGGCCATTCGACCACTCTCCCAACTCCCACAACGACACCCAAGTCTCAATCTTAATTTTGAGAATCTCGTCCCCTCCTTCATTCACAATCACATTTCACTAGAGAGTAGAGATAATAGTGTCTCTATGTGAAATTATTTTAATGTTTATGACTTTATGGTGCATGTTGGGATGCTTTTACTTTGTATCTTTATTATGTACTAAGATTTTGGGTGTCAAAATTATTCATGCATGTTAGAATAAATGTTTCAAAAAAAAAATCTTGGTTATTGGTTCAACATTTTGTGTAGTTGACTAAACAAATTGTTCATTTTTCGTTGAGTGTGGTCTATCAGGACCAAACCGTACCGGACCCGACCACACAGACGTGGTCTGGACCGGACCGTATAGTCTGTGGTCTGGTCTGTGGTCTATACTCTAGCCTCACGATCTGGACCGTAGACCGTATGGTCTAGACCAGATCGCACCGTTTCCCAGCCCTAGTTCTAACATAAGCCAGCGACCCAAGAACGCACAACAAAGTAGACATGGAAAATTACAATCCAACTTGTTGACCCAATTTGAACCCGACAAAAAAGTAGAAGTTTTTACAACCCAAAGTTGATTAACCTGTGTTTTTTTTTTTGTAAGGTCGGGTGGGTTAGCGGGTCGACTCGTTAAATCCGTTTCAATTTATATGTTATTCCCAAATTGATAAAATCAATTATAAATCGGTGAGATGTTTAAAAAGAATTCACTATGATTTGAAAGACATGTTTGGAGTTTAAGGGTAATCAAATATCATATGTGTTTCTTGTAGTAGCATTACTCTAGTGATTTTTTTCTTACGATTTGTGCAGTTTGTATTTCATTTCATTAGTATGGGAGGATTTGAGAATATGTTAATTGTCATGTGTTAGGTAAACCATTATCATTCATATGTGTGAAGATTTGTATTCTTTAAGAAAATATGAAGCAAGTTTGATATTGTTTCTGAGAGCGCTCATGACCCTAAACGACCTGTAACCCGACCAGAAACCCTGTGGACTAGGTGAATATTTGACCCAAAATCAGCCAATCCAACATTACCCGATGCCTCAACCCAAAATTACCCAACCCGAACCGATTGCCAGGTCTACAACAAAGCAAATGGTGAGTGCAACATTGACTTGTTGAAGGGATGAGTAGATCAGACGGGCAAATTAAAATAAAATAGCTTGACGTGATAAGTTATGTCACTTGGTTGGACAGCTGGTTTTTAAAAAATAGAAATCGATGTATATTGTACCTGCTAATTTAAACTCTAATATCACTACAACTATGATAATGATTACATTATGACTTATAATTAGAAAACAATGGTAGTTGTGTATTTGTGTCATCTTGATTACACCCATTTGATGTTAAATTCTGATCATCAGATCAAACTGGGAGGATTCTAAAGCTTCTATATATGATGAACATATAAACCTCGTCATCTCTCTCGTCACATATATATCATATATGTATGTTTTTATTGAAACGTAGAATTAATAAGGAGATCACAATTCTCAGCCGATAGACAAAATCCAAATTAACAATTGTTACCCGCAAAGAGGAATTTTACAATGCTATATAGTATTGATGCTATAGGTTTTTCTCTTTATGGTACAACTTGAAGTTGTACCTTTAACGTTATGGTACAACTTCAGATTGTACCTATACTTTTTTGTCAAATTGTTTTATGGTACAACTTAAACTTGTACTTCAATTTTGATGGTACAAGTTTAAGTTATAAAGTTGTATCATAATATAAGAGCACAAATTCCTTTATGGTACAACATGAACTTATACATTTAACGTTATGGTACAACTTTAAATTTTACATTAAAGCACCAATACTTTATAGCATAGTAGTAGAAGTGCTCACCCGCAAAACGAAATAAAGAAGCGAATACAAATTGGAAACGATCCAGCCCGCCGTTAGTAACTACTCGCGGTAGATGAAAGCAAGCTTGAATTGGCCGCTCACCATAGCCAGGGTGCAAGCTGTATCCGCCCAAAATGGACTATTGTCCCATGAATAGGGGAGCCGGATAGAGTAGGACTTCCCGGGAAGATTAGAAATATGGAAACTGCCGTCGTAGTAAGCCATCATCGTCAAGCCGCCATCCGGGTGGGTTGTCTTTACAAACCACCAGTTGTCTTTGTCGAATGCGGCTCTGCCATTGTACACCCGAATCTTTGGGGGAGGCAGCCAATCTCTGGGATCTTCATCCACCAAAGACAGCCCATTTGCTGACGAGAATGGCCAGTAGAAATTGTTCACAAGTGGGTGGTACTGGAAACCACCCGATATGATTTCGCGGGACAAACTCCAAGTATCCTGTGGCACCGCCCGTCTTGTGCTTATTATTTGGTCGTTGTGCGTAGTAAGGGGCACCAACTTAGTTGCGGCTGTCTGTAACCACGATTGCTTCCGAGGGAGTTGTAACAGTAGTTGGTTTCTTAGCTTCTCTGTTTCAGCTGCACTCGCTTTCATCATTTCTTCCTTCTCGATCCTAAGCTGTTGGGATTCCGCATCCTTCTCGTTCATAACCCTTCGCAACGCTTCATCCTTCTTCGCTACCTCTTGTCTCGTCTCCGCCTCGTCCTTCTTCAACTTGTGCCATTCATCGCTGTCCACCATTATCTTCCCTTCTGATGATGCTGCTGCTGCACCACCATCTCCGTTGTTCTTGGCTCTTTTCAGATTCCTCACTTCCTCCCTCAATTTTTTCAGCTCCTCGTTCTTTTCTTTCCTCAACGTCTCTAACTCGTCGTTTTTATCCTCCAGCTCCTCGTCCTTCTCCCTCTTGAGCGTTTCTAGCTCGCCGTCTTTTTTCCTCGACAGCTTCAACAACTCCTTGCCGTTTTTCTTTTCCAGGTCTCGCAGCTCCTGCTCGTGTTTCCCCCTCTCTTCTTTTAGCTTTTCCAATTCCCAATCTTGTTCTTCCATCTCCTCCCTCAGCTTCAGTATCTTTTCGTCCCTTTCTTCGACCATTTTTTTCAACTCCTCGTACTTCTTCTTGCTCACGCCTCCTCCGGCCGTCGTCGACCGCTTCTTCTCCCCTTTCGGTACGGAGTACTCCAACACCAGGCGCCGCCACGTGGCGATTCCTGGCATTCTGATACCGTGATACGGCCAGTTGAAAAGATCATTCAGTCGGAGGTAGTGAAACCCAAACTCTTTGTGTTCGCCTAACCCGGTGACATCCTGGAAACAAAACCCTTGAGGGCTGACCCTCAATTGCAGCCGGGTGAGGTGTTGGGCTAGCTTGGTCAACGCCTCCCGTCCCTCGATCCTCCCGTGACCATCGAAGAACATCAGCCCGTCGTAAGATTCGTCCTCCTCCTCCTCCTCTGCTGATGGATCGTCACCATTGTCTTGTTCCTCATCATTGCTTTGATCTTGATCACGGGCGGTGATGGTGGCGGCTTCCTTCCAGTGATTCTTTCCGATGGAGGAAGGATTAACAGTAGTAGGGTTGGTCAACTCGTAGACTTTGAGGGTCGTCTTGTCCGAGGAAGCAACGAAGTGCTTGTCGGATTTGAAATCAAAGAGAACCATGGTATCCTAATTGTTTTTTTGGTCGAGATTATGAGTATAAGAGGGATTGGGATGTAATGCTAATTTGCTAACTAAGAAGGGGAGTTGGGATGGAATTGCAGAATTTGAATGGTGGCGATCATGTTATATGTAATAATAATACCTTGAATCTTGATGTGTGGGTGGATACCGCTAACTAATTGCCTTGATTAAAATTTAAATAGCATATAATAGTGCATCTATTGATTAATTGGAGAGTGGCATTTCTTAGAAAGGATGAGTTAGGGCTTAAGGTTTGACTCTAATATAAAGATGATATGTCGTCTCAGCTTCTTCATCCATATTTTCTTTTAGAAAATATCCTTTCACCTAATTAAAAGAAGGGGAAAAAAAAGAATGACTTTGCCCAATAAATAATAAAATGTAGTCTTTTATTATTATTATTATTATTTTGGTAGACTTTTATTACAATTGTTTTTCTTTAGTAGACTTGGGATCATGTTGTCTTTTTTTAAGCAATTCATCATCGATTAAAATACTTCTCCATTCTTAAGAAATAAACCGACGACCAAAAACATATTAGAAGTCAGTTTAATTAGATGTGGAGAGGTGGCAATTGGATCGGATTCGTGGATTCGTGGATTGGATTGATGGATCCATGGATCAAATGGATTAGTGGATTCATGGATTGGATCAAATTGATTGTGAAAGGTATGAACCGTGTGTTGTATTGCATTAACAAGGGGTATATATATACCCAGGATTACAGCAGGTACAATTGTAGAATACTACTAGGACTAGGAGAATGAACAACGATTAATACAAGGACAAGGACTACAAGTGAGACTAGGACTAGAACTAGGAATTCTTCCTTATACGCCCCCGCAAGATGGAGGCGGCGTCAGCAAGACCCAGCTTGGAAGTGAGAAGTCGATAACGGGTAACGGGAAGAGCTTTGGTGAGCAAATCGGCGAGCTGACTAGCAGTAGGGAGATGTTGAACAACAAGCTGGTTCGACTGAACAAGCTGACGCACGAAGTGATAGTCCAACGCCAAATGTTTCATACGAGAATGAAAAACAGGATTGGAACTGAAGTTGACTGCACCAAGGTTATCACAGAAAAGAAGAGGAGCACGGGGCAGCGGATAGTGGAGCTCAGAGAGAAGATTTTGAATCCAGACAGCTTCAGAAGTAGCAAGGGCAAGAGCCCGATACTCCGCCTCCGTACTGGAACGAGCAACAGTACGCTGTTTCTTGGACTTCCAGGAGAGTAAAGTATCACCGAGATAGATGAGAAAGCCAGAAGTCGAGGTACGGTCATCCACATCACCAGCCCAGTCAGAGTCGGAGAAGATACGAAGTGAAAGAGGCAAGGACTGACGACGAATCTGAAGACCCACAGTGCGTGTACCAGCTATGTAACGCAGGAGCCTCTTAACATGCTGCCAATGTGTCGAGGTAGGAGAATGCATGTACTGAGATAACTTGTTGACAGAGAAAGCAATATCCGGACGAGTAGTGACAAGATATTGAAGCGCCCCTAGGACTTGTCGATACAAAGTGGCATCCGCCGGGGAAGAACCATCAGCCAGTGTAAGCCGAGCGGTAGAAGCAAGCGGAGTCGGGGCAGGGGCCGCCTCATGCATTTGAAAGCGGGTAAGAAGGTCTGTGACGTACTTGTGCTGCGACAGGAGGAAGCCAGCTGAATTGGGAATGATTTCAATGCCAAGAAAGTAGTGCACATGTCCCAAATGCTTGAGCGAGAAGCGATCCGAGAGCTTGGATTGAAAGGCAGACAAGAATGCGGCATTGTTGCCGGTTAGGAGCAAGTCATCAACGTACATGAGAAAGTAAACCAGAACGCCGTCATGCGAGTAAACAAAGAGAGAGGCATCAGAGGCGGTTTTGACGAAGCCACACGAGAGCAAGAAAGAACTCAGCGCCTCATACCAAGCGCGAGGAGCTTGACGAAGGCCATAGATGGCACGTCGTAGTCGACAAACATGATGTGGAAACTTCGGATCCCGGAAACCTGGCGGCTGGGACATGTAAACCTCCTCTTGAAGAGGACCCTGAAGGAACGCATTATTAACATCGTACTGAAAAATAGGCCAATGCGAAGACAAAGCCAAGGTGAACACCGTACGAACTGTGACTGGTTTCAGAACCGGACTGAAAGTCTCGTGATAATCCACACCAGCCCGCTGATGAAAACCTTTCGCAACAAGCCGACATTTGTGACGTTCAATAGAGCCATCCGGTAACCACTTGACCTTATACACCCAGCGCGAACCGATGACATTATAGTGAGGTAGCCTGGGAACAAGATCCCACGTGTAGTTGGCCAAAAGAGCATTGTGTTCAGTGTGAAGAGCATTGCGCCATACATCATAACGCATGGCCTCCTTGACAGAGCTCGGTTCAAGAGGAGGAGCATCCTGCGAGAAAACAACATTAACATACTTCTTGTTAGGCTTAACAATGTTGTTCTTAGCTCGTGTTGTCATGGGATGGCAAGGAGCAGGAGCCGGCGAAGAAGCGGGCGGCGACGAGCTGGGCGAGGGTGATGCCGAGGTGGATGTTGAAGTAGATGCTGACGGATCCAAGGAAGGAGAGCTAGAGGGAGGCGTACCAGACCGCGGAACAGGTGACAAGGGCTGCATGGAAGGAGCTGAATCACGTGGCCTGCATGGGAGGAATGAAACAGGAGGAGACATAGAGGCAAGCCAAGTCATGGAGGTGGACTCGGCAGAATGTGGTGGAGACATAGATGAAACACCTGGGAACTTAGATTCCAGAAACAGTACATGACGCGAAAGAAACACACGACCGGACTGAGGATCAAGACAACGATATGCGCTTTGTTGGTGGGAGTAACCAAGAAAAACACAAGGACGAGAACGAGGCTCAAGCTTGTTAGAGCTATAGGGACGCAACCAAGGGTAACAGAGACAGCCAAAGACACGAAGTTTGGAGTAATTAGGAGCTTCATTGAACAGGACAGTGAAAGGTATTTGACCACGAAGTGACGATGATGGTAGACGGTTAATAAGATAGACAGCTGTAGTGAAGGCATACGACCAATAGGACAACGGAAGATTAGCTTGATGGAGCAGAGTAATACCGGTTTCAACGATATGTCGATGTTTGCGTTCGGAGAGCCCGTTATGCTCAGGAGTATATGGAGGGGTGAGTAGATGCGTAATACCATGAGCCAAGAGATCAGATTTAAGTTTTTGAAACTCACCCCCACCATCGGTATAGAATCTGCGAATAGAGGTCTGGAAGTAATTTTCAACTAGCTTTTTAAAAGCAAGAAAAACAGACAAGACATCAGATTTGAATTTGAGAGGGTAAATCCATGTGTAGCGAGTAAAATGATCAACAATAACAAGATAATAAGAGTAGCCATCGACAGAACATACTGGAGCAGGCCCCCAAACATCGGAAAACAAGAGATCAAAGGGACGACTACTAGACAGACTGGAATCCCCAAAAGGAAGTTTATGACTCTTATTAGACAAACATGAGTTACAATGAGAGACCGAACGACCCGTATGAGGGAGAGAATGAACCCGAAGAAGACGCAACAAGGACTTGGAAGACGGATGACCTAAACGACGATGCCAAGCATCAGGAGAGTGGCGAGTGGTGACAAGGGCGACGCGAACAGCTCCAGAACCACCAGGAAGTTCATAAGTATCACCTTTGTTCCTTCCGGTCAGCAGGGACGCCCCCGTTCTTAGATCCTTCACATGAAATGAATCAGCAAAAAATTCAACAGACACAGGATTAGTACGACACAGTTTAGCAACAGATATCAGTCGTTGCTTAATAGACGGAACACATAGCACATCCCGTAGACTTAGACATTGATTAGTAGCAGGAAGAGAAGAAGAACCGATATGAGTGATCCGCAAACCTGAACCATCACCAAGGTAAATTTCATCGGGGCCATTATAGTCAGAGTAAAGCGACAAGTTGCCAAGATTGTTTGTCACATGATGAGTGGCCGCGGAGTCCATGAGCCAAGGGCCTGGAGACGAAGTAGGAGGAGCCGAGGGAGGATGCTGCGTATAGTTGGCCTGCGGTGGTCTCTTGTGAGGGAAGAGCTGAAAACAGGTTTTGGCGTTATGCCCGGGCTTGTCACAGTATTGACAGTAAACACGAGGACGACCGCGAGGAGATTCATCATCACCGCGAGCAGAAAAGGAGTCCCAAGAAGGTTGGGAAGCAGACGAGAATGAGGAGGCGGGGCTTGGATGGGAGGGCGAGCCACGACCAGCGCCCCGTCCAGCAGTACCACCGCGACGCCCGCGCCCACGGCCGCGTTGAGAAGTAAAGGCGGTGGCAGGGGACTCAAGAGACGGACGAGTAGCCCGGAGATCAGCTTCTAGAGCCTGCAGCCGATCAACCAAATCCTCGAGCTTTGGAGGGACATCACGAGCCCTAATCCCAGCAGAAAATTCAGCGTAGTCGGAACCAAGACCACGCAAACAAACCGTGACAAGTTCTTCGTCACGAATAACTTCGCCAGCGAGAGCAAGTTCAGAGGCACGGGAGCGAAGGGCTTGAATATATGTAGCCACATCGCGATCGCCTTTCTTCTCAGCAAGAAGCCGATCACGGAGAGTCATCACGCGAGAGTAGGAAGTTCCGGCATAGAGATTCTGAAGAGTAGTCCAGGCCGCGCGAGACGTCTCCGCAGACGAGATAAAGGGACAGATTTCAGCGGTAACAGAGGCAAAGATGCCATTGAGTAGAAGCTTATCCTGGCGAAACCAGTGAGTGTAGGCTGGGTTTCGCTGGGGAACATTGTTCACAGTAAGAGTCTCCGCCGGTGGAGGAGTGGAGCCATCCAAGTAGCCGACGAGATCGAGACCATAGAGCAAGGAAAAGAGCTGCGCACGCCAGGACGGGAAGTTGGTTGAGGTGAGCTTGAGGGGCAACGAAGCAGCTGGATTGAACGTGACCAGCTGCGGTGGATCAACGGCGGCGGAAGGCGTAGCAGACGTGGTTG